GCTACTAAAGACTAGTTACTGGAATTACTCAGAACAATTGGAGGATTTCATCGCTCGATATAAAACTCGTCCTCCTGACATTAAATTTTGGCCCTATGGACCGTATTGGCCTAAATATCATGAAAGAGAGATACTTGAGACTCCACGATTTATAAAAACTGCACCAAATTTTCATGAAAAATTCATTGACAAATTAACAGAAGGTAAGTTTTATTCATCATGGACACTTGTCATTGACAAATTAACAGTAGGTAAGTCAGTTCAGAGTGGAGACAGTCATGGACATATTAACAGTAGGTAAGTCATTATTTATACTAGTTCAGAGCAGAGACTGTATCTCTTAATGATGATATTTTTTATTAGCGTTACTTGTCTTGCAATTGCCACCAAATTTTTATTTCCACAATAAAAGAAAAAAGTGAGGCCCGCATGAGATGATCTCAATATAAAAGTTTGAAAAGAACTTCTTTATTTCTATTCCTATTGAGAAAATGGATGAAATTGAAAACATTTTGCAAAGTTGACATATTTAATTGGTAAAATGAAAAATTCCTTTTTAATCACATCAGGATATATAGTATTTAAAGTTGCATTTAAATTTGTTAGTTTTTACAATGGTCAAAGATGTTTACTTACAAGGGGAGCAATCCATTTTTATCCTTGTTTGAACATAATACTGGGAGTTATCTCTCCCTTTTTATCACATATATGTTTAAATACAGTTATCTCCTCATTTAAAAACAATGTACCCCTATGTTTGATTACCAGGTATGAAATCGTTTATTGTGCTGTTTTTGAATTACAATACACAATACGTGTGTGTACACATATGTGTATTCCCCAAAGAAAGAATCTGGTCATCGTCCCCCTCTATGAACGAAGTAAACACGCTTGATTATTAAGGAAAGAATCTGGTAACTGTCTGCTCCATAAATAAAGTAAACATGTTTTAATAATTATTCGGGAATGAATATGGTTATCTCCCCTGAACTCTATCATAATGAAATTAGTCAAATTAGAATTATGTGAAGCAAAATTTTTACCAGTATTCCTTTGGTGATGACTGAAAATTAGTTTCTGATTATAAAACAGTAAGATTTGATAACAGTTTCAAGAACACACAGATCAAACATAAAGTTTATATGTACAGTCAAACATAAAGTTTATATGTACAGTCAAACATAAAGTTTATATGTACAGTCAAACCTAAAGTTTATATGTACAGTCAAACATAAAGTTTATATGTACAGTCAAACATAAAGTTTATATGTACAGTCAAACCTAAAGTTTATATGTACAGTCAAACATAAAGTTTATATGTACAGTCAAACCAGTAATTATAAAGGTCATTCACAGGACCAGAGAAAACTGACCTTATGAGAGAGTCGATCTTTGAATTGAGGTTCAATTTACATCAATATTACTTCAAAGGGATATATAAAGATGGTGACCTTACTATACAGGTTTTCATGTAAAAGAGGTGACCTTAATAGCAGGTTTTACTGTATTACATATCAAATTTTTATGGTTGTATTTATAAGTTTTATTTCTTTTATGTTTTAACTCAACATTTAATAACCCGTTATAAATTTAAAATTCAAAATATTATTAGTTTGTTTATTAACTTTTATGACTTATTTATATAAAGACTATAACAACATCTAACTTAAAATGCCATCATTTCAAAGATAACAGATTAGCTTATTGATCTTAAATGAAAGTAAAATAAAAAGTTTGATGATAAATTTATTGTGTTAAAATATACTTCACAAATATTTTTTTGGGTTTTTTTTTAGATACAATTATAAAGCCATTATACAGCAATACAATAGAGCCAAAACAGAATACTTGTTTTCTGGGTTTCCCTACAGACCCCATTTATTATGCCAAAACAGATTACTTGTTTTCTAGGTTTCCCTACAGACCCCATTTATTATGCCAAAACAGATTACTTGTTTTCTAGGTTTCCCTACAGACCCCATTTATTATGCCAAAACAGAATACTTGTTTTCTAGGTTTCCCTACAGACCCCATTTATTATGCCAAAACAGATTACTCGTTTTCTAGGTTTCCCTACAGATTTCATTTATTATGCCAAAACAGATTACTTGTTTTCTAGGTTTCCCTACAGACCCCATTTATTATGCCAAAACAGATTACTTGTTTTCTAGGTTTCCCTACAGACCCCATTTATTATGCCAAAACAGATTACTTGTTTTCTAGGTTTCCCTACAGACCCCATTTATTATGCCAAAACAGAATACTTGTTTTCTAGGTTTCCCTACAGACCCCATTTGTTATGCCAAAACAGAATACTTGTATTCTAGGTTTCCCTACAGACCCAATTTGTTATGCCTAAAAAATTCCATGCTGATGTAATATTGGAACGTTTTGTAATGAATCATAAAATATTGTGGATCTCTCAGAAAATTGAGCCAAATACTGTAAACCAACTAATTTTCGCGAGTAGAAAAATATCGCAAATATAAATCGTCACGAATATGTAAAACTTGGATTTTTCCTTACTTAACTACATCAAGTAAATTTGAGAATCGCGAAATTAAATTGCAGTGAAATGGGCTAGAAAGGGCTAAACGCGAAATAAAGTATCCGCGAAAATAAGTTGGTTTACAGTATATAAAATATCTACCTACCTACCATTTCTTTGTCGAGCCTGCGACTTTTGTCGCAGAAAGCTCGACATAGGGATAGTGATCCGGCTACGGCGGCGGCGTTAGCTAACTTCTTAAAAGCTTTATATTTTAGAAGGTGGAAGATCTGGATGCTTCATACTTTGTATATGGATGCCTCATGTTATGAAGTTTCTGTCAGTCACATGTCCAATGTCCTTGACCTCATTTTCATGGTTCAGTGACTACTTGAAAAAAAAGTTAAGATTTTTTGTAATGTTAAATTCTCTCTTATTATAAGTAATAGGATAACTATATTTGGTATGTGCGTACCTTGCAAGGTCCTAATGCCCGTCAGACAGTTTTCACTTGACCTCGACCTCATTTCATGGATCAGTGAACAAGGTTAAGTTTTGGTGGTCAAGTCCATATCTCAGATACTATAAGCAATAGGTCTCGTATATTCGGTGTATGGAAGGACTGTAAGGTGTACATGTCCAACTGGCAGGTGTCATCTGACCTTGACCTCATTTTCATGGTTCAGTGGTTATAGTTAAGTTTTTGTGTTTTGGTCTGTTTTTCTTATACTGTATGCAGTAGGTCTACTATATTTGGTGTATGGAAGGATTGTAAGGTGTACATGTCTAGCTGGCAGGTGTCATCTGACCTTGACCTCATTTTCATGGTTCAGTGGTTATAGTTAAGTTTTTGTGTTTTGGTCTGTTTTTCTTATACTGTGTGCAATAGGTCTACTACATTTGGTGTATGGAATGATTGTAAGGTGTACATGTCTAGCTGGCAGGTGTCATCTGACCTTGACCTCATTTTCATGGTTCAGTGGTCAAAGTTAAGTTTTTGAGTTTTGGTCTTTTTTTCTAATACTGTATGCAATAGGTCTACTATATTTGGTGTATGGAATGATTGTAAGGTGTACATATTTAGCTGGCAGGTGTCATCTGACCTTGACCTCATTTTCATGGTTCAGTGGTCAAAGTTAAGTTTTTGAGTTTTGGTCTTTTTTTCTAATACTATATGCAATAGTTCAACTATATTTGGTGTATGGAAATATTTTATGATCTAAATGTTAGTCACGCAGGTTTTATTTGACCTTGACCTCATGTTCAAGGTTCATTGCTCAGAGTTAAGTTTTTGTGTTTTGGTCTGTTTTTCTTAAACTATAAGCAATAGGTCAACTATATTTGTTGTATGGAAGAATTGTTAGCTGTACATGCCTGCCTAGCATGGTTCATCTGACCTTGACCTCATTTTCATGGTTCATTGGTCAATGTTAAGTTTATGTGACAGTTGTAATAAAGCTTTATATTTAGGACTATCAACATAAAGAAGGCGAGACATTTCAGCGTGTGCACTCTTGTTCTTCAGTAGCAATGACTTAAAAACACTCTCAAACCAGTTTATTTTTTGTTTGACCTTATTAATTGATTTATAAGATATAGAACACTACATACTAAACTGATATGAAAGTAAACTTATATTAAAGGTGAACCTATTTTATCAAAAATATATAGATTATTTGCCTTTATAAATTATTTTAGGTTTATAAATGGATAAATTTAATTTGATTTTTTCCTTCATTTATATTAATATTAAATTAATAACTTAAAGTCTATATCCAGTAGATTTAATATCAAATCCTTTCTTCCCTGAATAGATCCAAAATTTATAAATATCTCGTTGCTTTATTATTATTGATACTTAATTTAGATGTAAGAAATATTTCACATGGATTAATCAATACTTTCTGCTGCATTCATATCTAATGGAATTTCGGTTTACAAACCACAGTTCATTTCACAATGATATGAGAAATTTTATAAAATTGACAATGGATTACAAAAACGAAAGATTATGGGAGTTTAAAAAAAAATGACATTAACTTATGCGCTCTGTGACGCTCACTGTATATATTATACCAGCGTGTAATTTATGTTTATATTGAGACATTCTGTCTCAAGATATAGAAACCTACCTTCTTCTAATAAATAGATGATACATAATTAAAACAAACCCCTTTCTAATAAATAGATGATACATAATTAAAACAAATCCCTTTCGAATAATTAGATGAAACAAATGTGATGCATCATATTAAACAAGGTTCAACCAAAAAACCTTTAGAATGTGCAATTGTCAACTCCTAAACACCTTACCTTTCAGAGATAATTCTTCAAATTTTCAAACTTTCAAATTGTACATACTTTTATTTTACTTATATCAATATCAAAATATCAAAATTAGTTATTTGACACTGGACATTAAACTCATTCATCATCTAATTATAAAGTAGGCAAAACATTACCATGTGTCCACACTTACATTGTATTTTGAAATATATATTATTTTTTACAGATCTACAGTATCCTAAAACATTTGACAACCAAGTTACACATTTTACATCTAAATGGCGAGGGGTGTTGATTGTGTATGACTCAGAAAGAAGTAGTCGGGACAGACAGCCGCAACCTGTCCCTGACGGATGTTGTCCTAACCTCGTCTTTGAATCTCGATTTGAGAGTGGTAACTTACGGCAGGCCAGGAGAGTGTAAGTTAATATATAACTTTGAATCTCGACTTTTAGAGTCATCGTAACTAATACGGCAGGCCAGGAGTGAGTTTTACATTTTATATATTTTTGAATACACACCAATCTCAAGTTATTTTATTAAATGAGTTGCACCAGTTGACCCGAAGTCATCCCCATAAACAATGTCTTTGAACAATCAGGTCTTTAACTGTGATGTAATAATATAAGCTTTGTGACATAAGAAATTTACCGGAAATTGCACAAAATTTGTAAATCGGAAATTGCACAAAATTTGTAAATCGTCTATTGATTTGAGACTGGTTTAATTAAATACTGGTAAAAGTTTATTTCTTGACTCACACTAGAAAAATATATCCTATGAGAAACAAAAAGTTTGCAACAAAAGAAATGTAACAGAACTGTTTTCTACTTGTTTGAGATACAACTGTCTTCTATAATAAATAGAACAGTACATCAAAGGTAACTGATGAACAACATCCTATTATGAATAATGCAGACCAATAGATTTCAATAATTTATGAGGGGTTCCCTGGTCTTACAGCAGTTTGACCTTATTTTGACCTGAAGATTTACCATCACCAGTAAATAGGCAATATTATGGCCGGATATACAGTATATTGATCAAAAACATAAAAATTTACTTTAATTGTGAAATAGTGAAATTGTATTTAAAGGAACCCAAGCGCTCTTTATTGTGACAATGGGATATTATACAATAAATAATATGAAAGTCATTTATCTGTTGTATGAATCATAGGGGGGGATCTCTGAGATACTTAGTTGCCAAACTTTCTTTTTAATATCACAAAATTAAAGTTAAAATTTAAATAGATAATAACAGAACAATAGTAAAATGATGTATTATAACTTTGAAAATCAAATTAAACAAATTATATATAAAACATCAATTAATGTAAGTGCCGTTGAAATATATTAAATTTATCTTTCCTTTGTTGGTTTGTAATTGTTAAAATTTCTCATGGGAAGAATCATGTTACCTCATTGTTAGTGTAAAATTTGAATTGTTAAAACATTAATGAAATTAGAAAGATATTATAAAAAATAAAAATGCCATCACTATAGTATTAAATAATGACTGTATTCTATGGTAGAAGAAATTTGATGATTATTTTTTATATCAAGGAAATTATACATGGTAGTAAATTGATATTTTCTTGCAAAAAGTAATGTTGCCCATCATATTTTCAAATATGAATAACAGGAGATGTGGAGTATACATAAATGAGACAGCAAACCAACAACACAAAATATAACCAAAACACATCTAGAGTTCATTATACAGTATGAGGTGTCTTTACAGTTAACTATTAGTCCTAAATAGCCCAGAGACTAAGATAGATGTAAATAATTATACAGTATGAGGTGTCTTTACAGGAACTATCAAAGTTCTGTGATCGACACCAGATTCTCTAAATAACAAAAAGCATATGATTTGACTTAAGGCTATCACTGAAGTGTCTTGGGGGTAAGCGTACGAACTTGAGACACAGAGTTAAACTAGTTTTTGATATCTCAGCCTTCCCCCTTTTTAACCAGTGGAATAACTTAAGCTATATGCAATAAATAATATCCAAGATGTATGCTTTTAACAAACTAATAAAGACAAAGAAAAAACAGGAAACACTTTCTCTAATTAATATACAATAAGAAAATGAGATATGATTGCCAATGAAACAACTCTCCACCAGAGACCAAAACAAAACATTCAGAATATGCCAGTTTGAAGCAGACAACCAACATGGCCACTGTTACCATAAATAGAACACCAATTTTTATATTTGTCAAGGTAATTACTTTTTTGTTGGTATTAGGTTGTTTATGATAATACTTATTAGTCTTTCTGAAACTTCCTGTGATCATGAAAAAGTTGATTTTCATTCTTTTTTTTTTACTTAAATGTAGAATTCACAATTCTGACATTTTGTACTATTAACAAAAAAAATATATGTAAATTTATTTAAAGGAGATAATTTTTCTTCAACTTCTTTGAAAGTTACTTACCACTTTTCACCTGTTAATATATATATATTTAAGAGTTATAATATTGTAAGGCCTATAAATATGAGAAGAGAGTCTTATTACTTGATTAGAATTCTATAGATTAAGCTGTAAGCAAGTGAAGGCTGACGTATGATCTCAGTAACACTCTTGAGTTTTACACACTCCACGGTACTTTTGCCTTTGGCTAAAATGCTATCTAGACTACAATTTCAACGAAAAACTAGTCTAAAGTCATTCAATTAGTTACTCTTTAATGTCACAGCATTATATATATAAAGTGCATGTAAAAATCGGTGAAATATATCACATCTTTTTCATTCTTACAAAAGTTTAATAGACCTGAATTATATTTGAATGTTTTTCAACAGTCTAATGAAATATATTTAAATATTTCTTTTATTAATTTTTCCTGTCTTTCATACAAATTTGTAATACGATCCTGAAAATAGAAAGTAATTTAAACATCTAGCTCAGAGCCATTACAAATTGGATCGTTTTTAAAAAGAAGTAGAATTTCAAAACCTATTAATTCTTAAGAAGACATTTGTAGTATATGCTCATTTAAATTTGATATTAAAAATGATAATTTTAGATTAAAACAAATATTCCATTTCATTGTGGGGAGGAAATTTATGTTCAGTTAAATCTGATGTTAAAAATGATAATATAAGATTAAAACATGCATTCCAGTTCACTGTGGGGAGGAAATGTATGTTCAGTTAAATTTGATATTAAAAATGATAATATAAAATTAAAACAAGCATTTCAATTCATTGTGGAGAGGAAATATATGTTCAGTTAAATCTGATGTTAAAAATTATAATATAAAATTAAAACAAGCATTTCAATTTACTGTGGAGAGGAAATATATGTTCAGTTAAATTATCACAAACATGCAAATGATATAAAATCATAATTCATACAAACTTGAAAAAAAATAAACAGAAATAATATGTCAAAAAAATTTAATGCCAATGAAACAATTGCCAACATAGAACTATGAACCAGGATGTAAATCACTACAGGTCATTACAACCTTCAATGAATACCGAAACCTATTTCAAAAGTACTCATTACATATGTAGAGCCTTTATATTTTTAGGCATGTGCACACAATATACAGAACCCATACAAAGTGTTTGTCAACTTGTACTTTGTAATCCATATAAAGTATTGATAACCCTAACATGTACACTATATACAGAACCAATATAAAGAATTAATAACCCTAATATAATCCCATACCTCTTGATTAGGTGGGTTGTATTGTTATCATTGCTTTCGTTTGTTTGTCAACCTGTACTTTGTAATCCATAGTTTCTATAACCACAACATAGTCTTTTGTAATTTACCAAAGGAGATGTGGATATGCCTTAATAATCTTACCAGCAAACAGTTTGACTATAAATTGGTGTTCAAAAGAAACTTATGTTCACATTATTGCCATGGTGACAACATATTTATCATTGTGTTATTACACATGCTATAAACCAAACACATAGTTATCATTTTGTTATACATGTTTTAAACCAAACAAATAGTTATATTTTGTTACACATGTTATGAACCAAACACATAGTTATATTTTGTTACAAATGTTATTAACCAAACACATAGTTATATTTTGTTACAAATGTTATAAATCAATTACATAGTTAATATTTTGTTACACATGTTATAGACCAAACACATATTTGTTTTTTTTTTTGTTTTACAGAGGACAATTTGAATATGAATTGGTGCTGAAAACCGACCTATACACTAACAGACACACACAATGGTATTACTTCCGAGTATCAAACACAGTACCGGGTGTTGTGTACAAGTTTAGAATCGTCAATCTGCTCAAAAGAGATAGTTTATATAATTATGGTAGGTTTAACTATATAGAAAGGTCAATGTTGTGATAGATGTGAGCTGGTTGTCTAAACCATAGTACTAAATACATAGAAAGGTCAATGTTGTGGTAGATGTGAACTGGTTGTCTAAACCATAGTACTAAATACATGGAAAGGTCAGTGTTGTGGTAGATGTGAACTGGTTGTCTAAACCATAGTACTAAATACATAGAAAGGTCAGTGTTGTGGTAGATGTGAACTGGTTGTCTAAACCATAGTACTAAATACATAGAAAGGTCAATGTTGTGGTAGATGTGAGCTGGTTGTCTAAACCATAGTACTAAATACATAGAAAGGTCAATGTTGTGGTAGATGTGAACTGGTTGTCTAAACCATAGTTCTAAATACATGGAAAGGTCAGTGTTGTGGTAGATGTGAACTGGTTGTCTAAACCATAGTACTAAATACATAGAAAGGTCAGTGTTGTGGTAGATGTGAACTGGTTGTCTAAACCATAGTACTAAATACATAGAAAGGTCAATGTTGTGATAGATGTCAACTGGTTATCTAAACCATAGTACAAAATACATGGAAAGGTCAGTGTTGTGGTAGATGTCAACTGGTTGTCTAAACCATAGTACTAAATACATAGAAAGGTCAGTGTTGTGGTAGATGTCAACTGGTTATCTAAACCATAGTTCTAAATACATGGAAAGGTCAGTGTTGTGGTAGATGTGAGCTGGTTGTCTAAACCATAGTACTAAATACATGGAAAGGTCAATGTTGTGGTAGATGTGAACTGGTTGTCTAAACCATAGTACTAAATACATAGAAAGGTCAATGTTGTGATAGATGTCAACTGGTTGTCTAAACCATAGTACTAAATACATAGAAAGGTCAATGTTGTGGTAGATGTGAGCTGGTTATCTAAACCATAGTACTAAATACATAGAAAGGTCAATGTTGTGGTAGATGTGAACTGGTTGTCTAAACCATAGTACTAAATGAATTTTGTTTGATTTCATCCAATTATTGTTCTGTGACCATATTTCCTGTTTATGTGCTGTCTTGTTATTTTGAAAACCAGAACTCAATAGAATAGTGGTTGTTTTGAAAAAAATTGTAGCCTAAATGGCCCAAATAGGTCCATTTCAGTCTTGCCATCAGTTTATGCATTCTTTCTATAAAAATCTTCATCAAACCACTGAACTGATTTGGACTTAACTTAGCCTGAATTTTCCTACGGGGATCTAGTATAAAGTTTTTGTTTGTGTCCAACCATTAGAAAACCAGACTTCTTGAGGTATGAATAAAAAGAGATGATGGTAGCATATAGCAAGCTCTAAATCACAAAAGATTTCAAAGATTTAAAATTAGAAATAGACTTAAAAAAAATCTTTCATCATGACCATTCATGTTATCTCGACTCCCTTATGAAAAAGAAGGGTGTTCTCAGTACAGGTGCCACATGTGGAGCAGGTTCTGCTTACCCTTCCAGAGCACCTGAGATCACCCCCAGTTTTTGGTGGGATTGGTGTTGCTCAGTCTTTAGTTTTTCTATGTAGTGTTTACTGTGCTATTATTTGTCTGTTTGTCTTTTTCTTTCTTAGCCATGCATGGCGTTGTCAATTTATTTTCGATTTATGAGTTTGAATGTCCCTCTCAGGTATCTTTCGCCCCTCTTTTAGCTTAGTTGACATCTCACTATTTCTTCAGCTATGACAAACTTTTCATTTATATTGAGTTCAAATCTATAAAGAACAAGTTCATTGGAACTGACCAATGTCTAACTGAGTAAACATAAAAACGCTGTTTATACATACAATATATGTACAAATATTCTTAAGGGATAAATATCACCATGATCAAAGGAAATTCGTGACATTAATTGATTTAATCCATTAACAAAGTAAATATTTATACAAAAAGATATTTGATATGGACTTTCAAATCTACGTATTAAGTATTGTATAAATATGGAACGGAACTTGATGAGTGTCAGTAACGTCATTAGTTTCGCTTCATTTACTAAAGGTAATAGGATAATAATAAATATTTTGTTTTAACGACAATCTGATTTATGGCTCTGTAGATTTTATCCATGCTAATTTTGTAAAAAAACTCTCAAATTAGAAACAATTTAGTATTACCACTAGTTTAACTGCACTGTCTTCTGCCCAGCTAAAATCATGAACCATTATTTGTAATTATTGTTTTGACTTTTGTTGAAGGTCACATTTTATTATGTCCATCTTCGTTCATAATAATCTTTGATAGGTTGCTGTCTTATAGTTATGAATTTTTGAAAGGAATTGAACTTGTGCAACAAAGTTCTGATAAAGAGAACTAAATATGCAGGTGTTTTGGACTCCAATCTTAATTGACTAGGATTGCCAGTTTCCTGTCGAAAGTTGTGGTCGTCTCTGGGCACTCCGGCTCATTCCACCAATAAAAACAGGCTGCCACAAAATAACCAAGAGCGCTTAAAGTGGCGTTAAACACAAAAAATTGATCAATCAATCAAAACAACACACAAACCATCAGCAGGAATGCTCAGACCTACACATTTGAAATCAAGGGATGAAAAAATATGTAGAAACATTGGGAGCTATATAACTAAAAGGAATCTAATCAGAACAGCTAAATTCATGTAAGGTCAACCAGTGGGAGTTGGAACCTTAGCTTCTAAGTAGTTTTTCATAGCTTATTAACAGGGAAGTTTATAAAAGTATTTTATAAATTATGTCAGTACCAAAGCACTGACTACTGAGCTGTTGATACTCTCTGGAACTAACGACCTTATTTATTTCAGGCATGCGTCCATTGCAATACTCAGAGAAGGAAGCCAAGTTACTTGGTCGAGGATGGATGAGAGCAGGTCATCATATTAGGTAAGTATTTCCCCTTTTTGAACATGTTGGTTTATATTGTGAGGTTTTAATTCAAATTTTACAAATTCATAAGTGGAGGAAGCCAATTATGTTCTTGGTAAACTCTCTCCCCAAAGTGGTGTAGGGACAAAGAAATAGTGGATGTCTGTCTGTCAATTCTACCTCCTGTTTTCTCAGCCCTATCACATGTACATTTAAATCAACAAGCAACCCTGCCAACTTTTCATCCTCTTAGATTGTGATAAGTTTTCTTAATCTACAACTATATTGTTTGAATGAGTATATATGTGCTTAAATACCCTTTTAACTCATTTGAATGCCTGTTTTGAGGTGTTCAGTTTATATGATAAAGAATTTAAAAATTCAGGTCAACACCTCTTATGGGGGATATCCCCCATGAATCGGGATAGTTGGCAGGTTATATTAGGTCATGGTCCAGTGACTTTGAATTAATAAGCAATTTTCAATGTTAAGTTTTCTGCTTAAGTCAGTTTGATTGGAACTACTTGTGATAGATCAATGATATTATATGTAAAGTTGCAATTACTATAATACATCTCAGTTTGTCGACTATTTCACGGCCCTACCCCCAATTTCATGGTCCAGCGAATTTGAATTAAGTAGCAATGGTGCTGTCCATCAGATTGTCTTTTTCTGAATTTTTGTCGACAGTCGGGACACATCTCTGTGTCAACAATTTATTGAAATAGTGCATTGATTGGAATATCATGTTTTGGGAAAGTAATATTGGTTCTATATGAAAAAATAAGAATATGTGGTATGATTGCCAATGAGACCACTCTAAACCAGTAACCAAATGTACTTAAACAGTCCTGTGATTAACTAGACAATAAACGTTGTTAAAACTTGCTTCTTTTGTCCAAAAAGAAAAGAAAATATCATTTGATTTTCAATGTGAATAAATTGTTAATTATTTTTTTTCAGTTATTCTCGTAATGTCATGCATTTACACTGCCCCTTACTGACACGAGGAATAGCATACTACATGTTGGAATGGCAAATGGTAAGTTTTAACTATTCTAAACAATTGCCACATGTAGATTGTGCCACGAGTCTTTACCCCTAAAAAATACAACAATATCCTCATGAAAATGGGAAAAATGTATATTTGCAGTATTTGCTTCATGAAATTTGTAACACTGAACACAGCCATTTTTACACCTCTGAACAAAAGATCGCACAAGTGCTGCCATTGGTCAAGAATGATGTAGTCAGAGTGGGTGTGACTTCTGTCTGTCACTAGATGGCACAATGCTGTATACACAAATTCTGTCTTAATCTGCAGAAAGTGAATGTGAGGCATGTTCACCCTTGGCTAGCGAAGATGAAGAGGAGGATGTTTCCGCATTGTCATATTTAAACTATATATATTTTAGCTCACCAGGCAAAAATAGGCAACAGTACTGCCTCAACAATGAGAAAAACCCATACCGTATAGTTGGCTATAAAAGTCGCTTACATGAAAAATGTAAAACAATTCAAAAGAGGAAACTAATGGCCTAATTTATAACAACACAATTTAGGAAAAACGTATATGACAGACATGAATCAATGACAGCCACTGATATGTTTATAACTACTATACTTTTTTAGGATTTCTCACATGAAGATGATGCTTGCCTATTGTTATATGTACACTACATATTTTTCAGGATTTCCCACATGAAGATGATGCTTGTTATCTTGCCCATTGTTATATGTATATTATATATATTTTCAGGATTTCCCACATGAAGATGATGCTTGCCCATTGTTATATATGTATACTGTATATTTTCAGGATTTCTTACATGAAGATGATGCTTGTTATCTTGCCCATTGTTATATGTATACTATATATTTGCAGGATTTCCCACATGAAGATGATGCTTTTTATCTTGCCCATTGTTATATGTATACTATATATTTGCAGGATTTCCCACATGAAGATGATGCTTGTTATCTTGTCCATTGTTATATGTATACTATATATTTTTTCAGGATTTCCCACATGAAGATGATGCTTGTTATCTTGCCCATTGTTATATGTATACTATATATTTGCAGGATTTCCCACATGAAGATGATGCTTGTTATCTTGCCCATTGTTATATGTATACTATATATTTGCAGGATTTCCCACGTGAAGATGATGCTTGTTATCTTGCCCATTGTTATATGTATACTATATATTTTTCAGGATTTCCCCCATGAAGATGATGCTTGCTATCTTGCCCATTGTTATATGTATTCTATATATTTTTTTCATGATTTCCCACATGAAGATGATGCTTGTTATCTTGCCCATTGTTATATGTATACTATATATTTGCAGGATTTCCCACATGAAGATGATGCTTGTTATCTTGCCCATTGTTATATGTATACTATATATTTGCAGGATTTCCCACGTGAAGATGATGCTTGTTATCTTGCCCATTGTTATATGTATACTATATATTTTTCAGGATTTCCCACATGAAGATGATGCTTGCTATCTTGCCCATTGTTATATGTATTCTATATATTTTTTTCAGGATTTCCCACATGAAGATGATGCTTGCTATCTTGCCCATTGTTATATGTTTACTATATATTTGCAGGATTTCCCACATGAAGATGATGCTTGTTATCTTGCCCATTGTTATATGTATACTATATATTTGCAGGATTTCCCACATGAAGATGATGCTTGTTATCTTGCCCATTGTTATATGTATACTATATATTTGCAGGATTTCCCACATGAAGATGATGCTTGTTATCTTGCCCATTGTTCTATGTATTCTATATTTTTTTCAGGATTTCCCACATGAAGATGATGCTTGTTATCTTGCCCATTGTTATCCCTACACATTTACAGATTTAAAGGAGGATTTAGACTCCCTAATCAATGCTCCTGATAGAAAGGAATGTATGAAGCGAGAAGTCTTGTGTGAAACACGGGCTGGAAATAGTTGTTTTCTTGTAACAGTTTCTAATTTTGGTAAGTGCAATTTCTTTGTGAACTACAGGCTGGAAATAGTTTTATTCTTCTATAGGTTTTGTAAAATAAACAAGTTTGGTCCTAGAAAATTCAAAACCACTTTTACAGTAGGGTTAATTCCAATTAGATACTATAATTACAGAATAAGTTCTTGGGTAGCTGCAACCTATAATTACTTTTGTTCTTATGCAATTGTTAATTGTGAAGTTTTTAAAATAGTTTTTACGGTAATTAATCATATCAGTGAAGAATTTATAGGTTCGTATGGGTTGCTGTGACCTATATTTTCTTTTTTATTCTTATATAATTGTTTATCATGAAGTGTTTTACTAGCTTGTAAGGTAATTAATCATATCAGTGAATAATTAATAGTTACATCTGGGTTGCTGTGACCTATTTTTACTTTTATTCTTATGCAATTGTAAATTATGAAGTTTTTAAAATAGATTTTAAGGTAATTAATCATATTAGTGAATAATTAATAGTTACATCTGGGTTGCTGTGACCTATGTTTATATATTTAGGTGCATCTAAAGAGGAACAACACAAGAAGAAGTTTGTTGTAGTCACTGCCAGAGTACATCCTGGGGAAACTCAGGCTAGCTGGATGATGAAAGGACTCTTAGAGTTCATTACCTCTAGTGACCCAGTCGCTAAGGTCAGTTGTCATCATAACTACATTATTTTGAAACAAGAAACTGAGACCAAAAATGTATAGTGATTTGTGATATTAAGATAACAGTGAAATTGGATACTTGATGAAAAAAATGGAATCCTCTAAATTAATTTAGAGGAAATATAAATTTTTTTCATACACCTTCCAAATTTATTTTTTCATATATGATATGAATAAAATAGTAAGAAATGAATTTAAAGGTAAAGTGATGATTTGGTCTTAAGTTGAAATGGGCAGATAAAAATGAAATATAAAAATGGTTAAGATTTACACTATTATACTTGCCGGTTTGAGTTTCTTTAAGGATGTTCACTCTACTTGTTTTTTAACTTTTGTCAGATATTTGGAATCCTCTGGTTTTATCCATGTAGTGTCATTAAAAATTTTGGCCGCTATCCCCTACTTTTCTTTTCATAATTTTATTACATATAGCTTAAAAAGCCATATTTGAAAATCCTATAAAATCCTTATTTTTTCATAGTTTTCGAAAGAAAAATGGTGACAATGTTAAATGTATGAAAATTCTAGAGAGAAACATTTCGCGCCAATTTTTCAGTGGCTTATATGTCGAAAATAAGGACACGAACCCTTAATTTTTTTCGACTTTTTTATTTCCGTTATTTATACAATATCAGTTTATAACAGTTTTTTAAAAATCTTGTTATTTTGAAATAGAGTAGCAAACATCCTTAAGCTCAATTTGCAGTTCACCAAGATTTATTTACAAAATAAACTAAACATGCTTTTGTATAGAATCAGTTACTGAAAATTCAGATATTTTGGGGATTTTTTTATTATTGCAAAAACAATGACAGGATAGGTTTCGAAAAATTAAAAACTTGCACTGTAAATATTTACAGCATTTTTTGTATGGAGCTTTTCCTGAAATTGCAACGATTAATCTTGCATCATTGTGTCTGTTGTTAAACAGTTTCAGTAATAAATGGATGCACAAATTTCCGATGATACAGTATTATATGCTCATTCAGTAGATAAATTTATCTGTTTTTTTCTCCACAGGAACTTCGCAATAGGTTTATATTTAAAATTGTACCGATGTTAAATCCAGACGGTGTGATAGTTGGGAATTATAGATGCTCATTGGCTGCTAGAGATTTAAATAGAAATTACCGACACCCACGTAAAGAAAGTTTCCCAACTGTTTGGCATACAAAAACACTTATAGAAAAAATTCTGGAAAGACATGAAGTATGTATTTTTCATATTTTTAAGTAAGTGTAAATGCTGATTTAAATGTAGGGTACATGTTCTTAAATGTAAATATTTAATTTAGTGTAGAGCACATGTTCTTAATTGTAAATATTTTATTTAGTGTAGAGCACATTTTTTTAAATGTAAATATTTAATTTAGTGTAGAGCACATGTTCTTAAATGTAAATATTTAATTTAGTGTAGAGCACATGTTTTGTTAGCTAATATTGAATTTGATGTGTATTGTACATGTTTTTACCAGTAAACACTGAATTAAGTGTATCATGCAAATGTTTTTATATTCTAAAAATGTTAAAACCCAAAGCTTGTAAACTGAAACTAATCAATCATGACTGAATTGGGGAAAAAAACCCTATATTTAAGATTTGTGTTTTCTATGTGCCTATTGTATTGCATTGCTTTAGACGTTAATGTCCAGTGACAAATATTTCATATAGACAATATAAGATATGAGCCCAACAGATTAACCAATAATAAGTCATCCTTTAGTTAACGTCCAGTAACAAATATTTCATAAAGACATTATAAAGAATGAGCCTAACAGATTAACCAATAATAAGTCATCCTTTATTAAATGTACAGTGACAAATATTACATATCGACAATGTAAAGAATGAACCCAACATATTAACCAATAAAAAGTCAGCCTTTAGTTAATGTACAGTGACAAATATTACATATAGACAATGTAAAGAATGAACCCAACAAATAAACCAATAAAAAGTCATCCTTTAGTTAATGTACAGTGACAAATACTACATATAGACAATGTAAAGAATGAACTCAACAGATTAACCAATAAAAAGTCATCCTTTAGTTAATGTACAGTGACAAATATTACATATAAACAATGTAAAGAATGAACCCAACAGATTAATCAATAAAAAGTCACCCTTTAGTTATTGTACAGTGACAAATATACATATAGACAATGTAAAGAATGAACCCAACAGATTAACCAATAAAAAGTCATCCTTTAGTTAATGTACAGTGACAAATATTACATATGGACAATGTAAAGAATGAACCCAACAGATTAACCAATAAAAAGTCATCCTTTAGTTAATGTACAGTGACAAATATTACATATAGACAATGTAAAGAATGAACCCAACAAATTAACCAATAAATATAGACAATGTAAAGAATGAACCCAACACATTAACCAATAAAAAGTCATCCTTTAGTTAATGTACAGTGACAAATATTACATATAGACAATGTAAAGAATGAACCCAACAGATTAACCAATAAAAAGTCAGCCTTTAGTTAATGTACAGTGACAAATATTACATATAGACAATGTAAAGAATGAACCCAACAGATTAACCAATAAAAAGTCATCCTTTAGTTAATGTACAGTGACAAATATTACATATAGACAATGTAAAGAATGAACCCAACAGATTAACCAATATAAAGTCATCCTTTAGTTAATGTACAGTGACAAATATTACATATAGACAATGTAAAGAATGAACCCAACAGATTAACCAATAAAAAGTCATCCTTTAGTTATTTCTATCCTTTTATTGCAATCATTACCATAACTTTCTCTACTTTCAGATTTTATTATATTGTGATTTACATGGACACAGTCGGAAACATAATGTGTTCATGTATGGCAATAATACCTCAGAGGAAGATGTCAATGGACTTGGTGCTGCTAAATCCTTCCTTAATGAGAGATTATTCCCTTGGTTAATGTCCCAGAAGGTAAGTTACATAAAGATATAATACCTCATAGGAAGATGTCAATGGACTCCTGTTAAATCCTTCCTTAATGAGAGATAATTCCCTTGGTTAATGTCCCAGAAGTTAAGTTACGTGAAGAAATGATGCAACTAAAGTGACCCCATGATTACCTATAGTTGCTTAAATTCGCTTTATTTTGACTCTGTCGTATAGTTGTCTCATTGAGAATCCTACCACATCTCCTAATTTTGTATTGCTGCAAACATTAGTAGTAGACAATAATTTATTTCAATACTAGAACATTATATTTTATTATACTTCATGTCAAAATTCCAGATTTTGATTGGTTAATACGAGGGAGACAATTTACTCTATCCCATGGCAAATACTCTGTTACCCTTCACGGAGACACTTGCTCAAGTGTGCGCTTTAATAAATATGGGTGATTGTTATGTACAAGACGTCATAGTTTATTACTTTGAATTTGAAATTTAATAGACAGTAATAACAGAATATTCAGTATAATAAATTAAATAACACATATCTGAGAGGGTGATAGAGCAGATTGTTACCCCTCGAAAAAACATTGTCAACCTTGGCTTCGCCTCAGTTGACAATGTTTTCTCGGGGTAACAATCTGCTCTATCACCCTCTCAGCTATGTGTTATTTATATAGTAAATTATAATAAGACAAGACAGATATTTTGATAGTGTTTCCATTTAATCCAATTTTTAAGAAAGTGGTGTTTTATATTTTGTCCAGTGATCACATGGTAAGTTATGTGAGAATATTACTTCAAAATTTATTTAAAGAAACTATTAACCCTTACCATGCGGGGGCCGTAATATTACGGCAGTACCCAGACCACAGTTATTTGGCACCAATGGCGCTCCATACATTTGGAGGTCAACGTAATGCCATTTAATTCCAAGTGTATGCATGTTTCCTCAATCTTACACCATTAATTGTCATCTTTCTCACTTTTAATGTTCATTTTGAGCTCAAATACGAACTTCGAAAATTGAAATGGGACAAAATTGGGTTTTTTGGAGGGGTGGGCTTACCTTCGAGGTCTGAAACACGAAGTTATGAGGCCTGAAACTTGGACAAATAGTGTAAACCCCAAGGCATTTAACTACTGATCGTGTTTATTATCAAAATACGCCTAGGCAACAACTACTTCCGGTTGCAGGTCCAGTTAAAGTAAAAAATTGGAAAAAATTGGAAATTTTTAGAATTTTGGTGCAAATGACCTTTTTTAAACTGTTGTACCCAGATCAGTTTCACTTCGACCTAACAACTGTTGTGATTAATGTGTTCACTGGGGTCCACTCTACATGCAAACTACAGTTGGATGCATCCATTAGCATCCCTCCGACTACCAGGTGGAGAAAAAGAACATAAAAACATCAAAATTGAAGCGTTTTGCACATAAGGACCAAATTTGGGGCAAATAGAGCTTATGTTATCCTTGTTTCATGTTTGTATACTATGCTGATTCTAAATAAAGCTTATTTATTATTTATTATTATTCTATTTATTTATTTATTATTATAGGGGATGAAATAATAAAGGAAAAAGTAAAATAAAAAAAATACTGAACTTTATAAGTCCCTCATCAAATGGCAAAATCAAAAGGTCAAACACATCAAACGAATGGAAAACAACTGTCATATTCCTGACTTGGTACAGGCATTTCCTCATGTTGAAAATGGTGGATTAAATCTGGTTTTATAGCTAGCAAAGCCTCTCACTTGGATGGCAGTTGCATAAAGTTTCATTATATTGAAAATGTCAAAATAGGGGTGCAGGAGTCAACATTATGTTATAATCTTAATCACTATAAAAACAAACAAATGTGTCAACAAAGAAAAACGAAATGGCATATAGACAAAGCACATAAGCAAAAATTAATAACAAGAATACAAAAAATTATTGTCATTACATACATGTAGTAATAGGGGAGATAACTCAGATTATTTTCAAGTAGCTTTGTGGCCAGATAAGAAAATATTGAATAAAAACAGTTAAAAGATAGTAATAACAAAGTTTTATTCCATAAACACTACAGCAACAAATAATACTGTTCCACATGTGACACTTGTCATGTTTCTCGCGATATGCTGATGAATATTACTTCTGTTACGCTGTCAGACTTGAAAATAATAAGTAATCCTGTTGAAGTTTACAAGGAAAATTGGTTGAGAGAATGCTTTTGTAAAAGTCATTTATTAGATTGATAAATGTCACAATGTTATTGTTGTCCAAAGAATCAAATTCAATCTTTTATTTCAGGCTCCTGACAAATTTGCCTTCAAATCCTGTAAATTTAATATAAAACGGTGCAAAGAATCTACGGGACGAGTTGTTATGTGGAGACAGATGAAAATACTCAATAGTTTTACGTTAGAAGCTACATTCAGTGGTACTATAATGAATAAGTAAGTCTGACTGAGAAAATACTCAATAGTTTTACATTAGAGGCTAACTTCAGTGGTACTATAATAAATAAGTCAGTCTTACTGAGAAAATACTGAATAGTTTTACATTAGTAGCTACATTCAGTGGTATTATAATGAATAAGTCAGTCTTACTGAGAAAATACTCAATAGTTTTACATTAGAGGCTAACTTCAGTGGTACTATAATAAATAAGTCAGTCTTACTGAGAAAATACTCAATAGTTTTACATTAGAGGCTAACTTCAGTGGTACTATAATAAATAAGTAAGTCTGACTGAGAAAATACTCAATAGTTTTACATTAGAGGCTAACTTCAGTGGTACTATAATAAATAAGTCAGTCTTACTGAGAAAATACTGAATAGTTTTACATTAGTAGCTACATTCAGTTGTATTATAATGAATAAGTCAGTCTTACTGAGAAAATACTCAATAGTTTTACATTAGAGGCTAACTTCAGTGGTACTATAATAAATAAGTCAGTCTTACTGAGAAAATACTCAATAGTTTTACATTAGAGGCTAACTTCAGTGGTACTATAATAAATAAGTCAGTCTTACTGAGAAAATACTCAATAGATTTACATTAGAGGCTAACTTCAGTGGTACTATAATAAATAAGTCAGTCTTACTGAGAAAATACTCAATAGTTTTACATTAGAGGCTAACTTCAGTGGTATTATAATAAATAAGTCAGTCTGACTGAGAAAATACTCAATAGTTTTACGTTAGAAGCTACATTCAGTGGTATTATAATAAATAAGTCAGTCTGACTGAGAAAATACTCAATAGTTTTACGTTAGAAGCTACATTCAGTGGTACTATAATGAATAAGTCAGTCTGACTGAGAAAATACTCAATAGTTTTACGTTAGAAGCTACATTCAGTGGTATTATAATGAATAAGTTAGTCTGACGAAGAAAATACTCAATAGTTTTACGTTAGAAGCTACATTCAGTGGTACTATAATAAATAAGTCAGTCTGACGAAGAAAATACTCAATAGTTTTACATTAGAAGCTACATTCAGTGGTACTATAATAAATAAGTCAGTCTTACTGAGAAAATACTCAATAGTTTTACGTTAGAAGCTACATTCAGTGGTACTATAATAAATAAGTCAGTCTTACTGAGAAAATACTCAATAGTTTTACGTTAGAAGCTACATTCAGTGGTACTATAATGAATAAGTAAGTTTATTTTTCCTATTAAGTTTTATGTTCAGAGTTATAATTGTAAAGTAGACTTGACAGAGAAAATGTCCAATAGTTTAACATTGGAAGGTATGTTTAGAATTAATAAATAATGGACTGATACATTTGATTTTCATGTTATTTCATTAAAAATAAGAATTAAATGTAAATCTAGCAATAACTAATTATGATATATTCAGTTAACTTAAAACTAGTTTATTATGTACAATTTAAAACTTCATTAAATATGATTATTTCTCATTATGGCCATCCTTGTGTGGCAAATAAAATATTTTTTATATGATATTTTTATCGTAAATATAGATCAACTGCTTCAACTGCTATTGATGCTTTTGTGTATTACTATTATAAATGACTATCTTGAGATTGAACTTTTTGGGGGTTTTATTTCAGAAATGAATATCGACATTTTAATGTGCATGATTTTCAAGAGATGGGAAAAGTTTTATCACAAACAGTGCTGGAATATCAGAAAACACAGGAAAATAATGCGTAAGTTCAGAGGTCACTTAGTTTCTATGGTAGATACCCATAAAGTGCAAAAATTGGTGGGAATCAAAAGAAAAAACAAGGGAACAAAACAGAGAAAACTAAAGATAGAGTAGCATGAACCCCTGAAAAAAATTGAGATCACCTCTGGCACTTAAAAAGGTTAAACAATTCCTGGACTATTGGCTTTTGTTGTGTTTCTTATGGCACACCATGGTACATTATTTTTTCCATGTCCACCATTTTGATGTTTAAATCATTTACCCAATGTGACCTACTTTTTCAGAATGAGGCAAAAGAAATAAATCTAAAATGTAACTGGTTATTTTTCTTTTGAACTCGTTTGATGTGTTTTCTAAAAGTACAAAAACAACAAAGAATTGATAGTAGTGTGTTTTGGAATAAAAACATATTTAAATAATGTTTGTACCTTGAAGTGTATTCTTTGCATTGACAATCAGACCCTGAGAAAATTACCGCTATTTGGTGCATTTTCCTTAAATCGTTACTCCATTTAAAGACACCAACACCAACACTGACATTAAATGCCAATGAGATATAAAGCCAACAGTAAAACCAAATAAAACAATAAGAGTCAACGTAGAAGGGTCTTGCTTTTGTGTAAATGATGAGTTTTCTTCATATTTAACTTTTAACTTCTTTGAAATCTCCAGTAGTTGAGGTGATACATTAATATGAAGAAGTTTGAACTCTCCTGTAATTGAGGTGTTAAGTTGATATTAAGAAATTTGAACTCTCCTGTAATTGAGGTGTTGAAATTAGGAAGTTTATTTTTACAGTAAAAGAAAGCGGTAAGAAGAATTGAATCCAATCACCTCTTTGAGTCGTATTGTAAATTAATATCAATCTGATTGAATTCCTTAGTCCAAGCCTGGCTTACAATGATCTGACCACGCTCCTTCCTACCATTTGTTTTCAAAACCTTCCAGATCCTCTGGTTTTGTCGTAATGATCCACACCTTAAAAAACTTGAAGGCTGACATTTCATTGGCTGATGTAATTATTATTAGAACAGAAAAATGCAAGAAGTGTTGTCAGATCCTTGTAAGCAAAATTGGACACAGCAACTGTATTTTAATTAGATTGGATTAATGTGTACCTTTCAGTATATTATACATGTATCCCTTGCACCATCTAAAATAAATGATTTTGTACTAACAAAGTTGTGATTGGTTACTTTACAACTACACTCTGTACATTTCACCTCAAAGTTTGAATCAATACACACTGTTTTATTTGATGCTTAACCTCTTACCTGAGACTCATTACCAGAGTAACAAAAGGAGGTTTTTTTGGCTCTGTGTTGAAGGCCTCAGATTTTGTGTCATGGATGGATAACCCATATCCTTTGTTTTTCTATTATATGTCAGTGAGGAAACAGAAGAGGTACAAATGTATGGAATGGCCTCTAGGGTAGGAATCCATGAGACACCAAATAAAGCAAAATAGGATTATAGTTCATGCCAGCATGTTCTATTTTAATGTTATACATATAGATTTTAAACTGTAAGCCACTCATTTCCGATAGAAAGTGGACATTGGTATCATTATGACAGATCAGAAAGAAAATGTGATATCTGTAATATCAAGTAATTGGCGACGAATATCATTACATCATTAAATGCCCTCAGCTATAGAAATCAAAAGGAAAAATCTCCTTCCATTATATGAATACACAAGACCAAATACTGCTAAATTTCACTTTCTGATTGATAGAAAAAGAATTGCAACATTAAAAAGACGTTATTTTATCCTAGGTCTGTTTTTTTTCTGGGTTTTTTGGTTTTTGTCGAGCCTGCGACTTTTGTCGCAGAAAGCTCGACATAGGGATAGCGATCCGGCGGCGGCGGCGGCGGTGGCTACGGCGGCGGCGGCGGCGTTAGCTAACTTCTTAAAAGCTTTATATTTTAGAAGATGGAAGACCTGGATGCTTCATACTTTGTATATGGATGCCTCATGTTACGAAGTTTCCGTCAGTCACATGTCCAATGTCCTTGACCTCATTTTCATGGTTCAGTGACTACTTGAAAAAAAAGTTCAGATTTTTTGTAATGTTAAATTCTCTCTTATTATAAGTAATAGGATAACTATATTTGGTATGTGCGTACCTTGCAAGGTCCTCATGCCCGTCAGACAGTTTTCACTTGACCTCGACCTCATTTCATGGATCAGTGAACAAGGTTAAGTTTTCGTGGTCAAGTCCATATCTCAGATACTATAAGCAATAGGTCTAGTATATTCGGTGTATGGAAGGACTGTAAGGTGTACATGTCCAACTGGCAGGTGTCATCTGACCTTGACCTCATTTTCATGGTTCAGTGGTTATAGTTAAGTTTTTGTGTTTTGGTCTGTTTTTCTTATACTGTATGCAATAGGTCTACTATATTTGGTGTATGGAATGATTGTAAGGTGTACATGTCTAGCGGGCAGGTGTCATCTGACCTTGACCTCATTTTCATGGTTCAGTGGTCAAAGTTAAGTTTTTGAGTTTTGGTCTTTCTTTTTAATACTGCATGCAATAGGTCAGCTATATTTGGTGTATGGAATGATTGTAAGGTGTACATGTCTAGCTGGCAGGTGTCATCTGACCTTGACCTAATTTTCATGGTTCAGTGGTCAAAGTTAAGTTTTTGAGTTTTGGTCTTTTTTTCTAATACTATATGCAATAGTTCAACTATATTTGGTGTATGGAAATATTTTATGATCTATATGTCAGTCACGCAGGTTTTATTTGACCTTGACCTCATTTTCAAGGTTCATTGCTCAGTGTTAAGTTTTTGTGTTTTCGTCTGTTTTTCTTAAACTATAAGCAATAGGTCAACTATATTTGTTGTATGGAAGAATTGTTAGCTGTACATGCCTGCCTAGCATGGTTCATCTGACCTTGACCTCATTTTCATGGTTCATTGGTCAATGTTTAGTTTACTTGGTTAATGTTAAGTTTATGTGACAGTTGTAATAAAGCTTTATATTTAGGACTATCAACATAATATCAATGATTAGTAAAGAAGGCGAGACATTTCAGCGTGTGCACTCTTGTTTCTATTTTTGTATTGTCTTTTGTATGAATTTACTTCCATGTATCACCATAAGGATGTACTTAGGTGAAATTAAAAATATCTAGAATTTAAAATTGATACTATAAGTAAGAAGAGCATTAGTTAAGGAACAAAATAAGCTAAAAATATTGATAAGTTATGGAACTCCTTTTTGAGATATTTCATATTTTAAAAATGGCAGGAAAGGCTGACTCAGACTTTTACCTTATATTTGCATTGGTATTATTTGGGTCACAAATCGAACAAAAAGAAATCTAGAAACTGCTTAAATTTTCGTAAATGAGCTTTTATGAGTTATTGAAGTCTTATATGAAATGAAAAATGGATGTTATGGGGCAAAATATTTTACCCTGAGTCGTAGGAAAAAAACCAAGGAGTTTGAACATCTGACAAAAATTCCTAAACCTGACCTAAGTACATCCTTAAGCGTTGTATGTTAAATAATGGTGTTTCTCTAATTTTTTCACTATTTTCACATTTCCCAACCGATTGTGAAGGAATTGTTATCCTCAGTAGTGAAATATCTGTTCTCAGCAAATGATTGGTCAAAATTTAATTATGACATCAAAATTTCCTATAGTGATGTCATGAAAAAAGGCGACCATGCCTGATGACGTCACTTATAAAGAACACAACTTTCTGCAAATCTTTGAAATGGAAGGATAAAAATCGTAACACACTTGTTGCAGTGGTGGATTCTATATTTCCCTCTCTGTACCTTTGTTAATTGATTATAGAGAATAAAGAATCTATCTAGTAACACTTACAGAACTAGATTGTCTATGTATAAATCATCACTGTAACTTGTATGACCTTTTACATTGCCATTTCACTCACTTGTGAAATAAGACTTTACATACAATATTGGAACTATATAACAGTAGTAAAGTATAAAACCAATGCAATGTTACATTTCTCTAATTCTTAGCTGATTTATCCTTTTCCTGCCCAGTTGAAATTTTCTTTATCAATTGTGGTTCCTTTAATCTCAGTTCTTTATTGTTTAAAATTCAATTATGTCGTCAAATTTTCTTGCTGTCCTTTAAAATTCCTATTGTGACGTCATGAAAAAAGGTGACCATGCCATATACATGTGGACCATGCCTGATGGAGTCACGTATAAAGAACTTGTATCTTTTTGCAGATGTGGGAAAAAGTTTGTCTACATATCACCTAAAACTCATTTAGAGATTTAGAGTCCACCACCATACGATATTTTTCCACTCTCGACAGTTAAGATTTGAAAATTGAAGTGTCTGAAGTGGAGGAATATCATATCACACACAATGCCATGGTAGATATAAATAAGAAGATGTGGTATGAGTGCCAATGAGACAACTCTCCATCCCAGTCACAATGTGTAAAAACTAAACAAATATAGGTTAAAGTACGGCTTTCAACACGGAGCCTTTGCTCACACCGAACAGCAAGCTATAAAAGGCCCCAAAATGACTAGTGTAAAACAATTCAAACAGAAAACCAATGGGAAACGAGAAACACTTATGAACCAATATTCATACATTTTCTTGTCCAGGTATTTTTCAAGGTTTTTTTCACTTTTTATTTGTCTGCCTTCTGTGTCTCTGATAAATAAAATGATTTCCGGATACAATTTATTCAGAAGAACTTTATTTGCATTTATGAGTCATCTTTTGTGAACTACTTTTCTAATGATAAATTTTTTATTAATTATTGTTTAAACAGGAAACAGTCAGAAATGGTGTTAGAACTAACGAGATATGTTACACAGCAAGTTATGGAACAACGAGGTCTGATGGAGCGACCTAAATTACCAAACTTTAGGTCAATGATGAAGGGAGACAAAAATGTTATTAATAATACAGGTAATAATAATCAAGGTGTGATACTTTAAATCGTGGTAAGTATAATGATGGTAGAGGAATTTGGTAATATTTATAGGTCACAAAACTACAAGGTTATAGGAACAAGATGCAATATTAAACTATAAAGTCATGAATGAAAGGAGAGAAAAATAGAAATGTCATTGTCAATACAGAAATGTGAAAGGTTGTTGAACTGAGACTGCTTTGTTTGTTTCCCTTTTATATACTGGTATTGAGTATAGCCAAGGGAGTGAACTTGTGCAATATAAACACTGAAGACATTTCCTTGTAAATACTGGTACTGTAGATACTGGTAATGAGTAGTCAAGGGGAGACAACTCCTGAACCACAATAAAACACACTAAGCAGCTTTCTATATTTCCCTATAGATACTACAACAATAAAACACATTAAAACAGCTTTCTATATTTCCTTATAGATACTGGTCTTGAATCTAGTCAAGGGAAGACTACTCTTGAACCCTAAATATAAAAATAAGAAGATGTGGTATGATTGCCATAAGACAACTCTCCATCAGAGACCAAAGGACATATAAGTTAGCAACTATTGGTCACTGTACAGCCTTCAATAATGAGCAAAACCCATACTGCATATAGTAAGCTATCAAAGGTCAGAAATTACAAATGTAAAACAATTCAAACAAGAACCAAGACTGATTTCTTCTTCTCCTTATAGATACTGGTAACGATTCTAGTCAAGAGAAGACAACTCCTGAACTTCATGTTAGTACTCCTGTTTTTAAAGAAGCTGTACTGACAGTCATGGATCACGAGAACAATACATTTGTAATGGAGGAAAAACGAGGCAAACGATCAAAGAAGAGCGAGAAAGCTCAGTCTAATTTAAGTCGGAAGGATGTCGATAATTTGCTGGAAAATGCTTCATTGAAAACAATGGATGGATGTCTGAAAATCCTGGCTCAGTTGAATGTGCGAGAGGTCATGCAGGAGTCAGAGTAAGTATTATGTCTAAACTTTTCTTGATTACTTAGCAATGTGAAAAGTTTGTCTGTGCAATGGAAGGTAGAATTGCATACAATAACAATTGTAATGCAATTATTTTGTATCAATGGTTCTAATTGAATGACAATCAGCGTACAATTCTCTTTCTATCGGTCTCTAACTAAGTGGAGTCAACAATTTGAATTTTGGAATGTATTGACATGTTATTTCTCCAATAATAAGCAAAAACTCTCACATTTTGCACCTGGAAATCTTCTTTTTATAAAATTTTATTACACACTGAGGTGGACAAGAAGCCAGAAAAAGCCCGATGATTATGTTTGACCCCAGAAGCATACAGAAGCATGCCTATGAGGTCGTCTTCTTTAGGGGCAAAAGAAGATAACATCATTTTGCAGAATTTTCCTTTATTTTGTTTATTTTGCATTAAAATATAGAGATAAATGTATTGTATTTGAAGCTTTGCAGACGTCCATTGATAGTTTTACTGTCGCAAATATTTGTTTACCTGTCGCCAGGTAAACTACTGATAGACGTTATCAAAGCTTCAAATACAATACAGTTATCTCTTTAATTCATCATTTCAGGATTTATTTTCAAAAACGTACACAAAAATTAATGATTTTAAACCATTATGTGTGTTACCTGTTTACAGTCAAAAGTGATAACCATTATGTGTGTTACCTGTTTACAGTCAAAAGTGATAACCATTATGTTTGTTATCTGTTTACAGTCAAAAGTGATAACCATTATGCATGTTATCTATTCACAGTTCTAGTGACAGTGACAGTGAATCTGAACCAGAAATGAAGATTATGGAAACAAAATCAAAGAAGAAGAAACGGAAGTCTCGTAAGCAGAGAGATAAGGAGCAGGCAGATAGAAAAAATGGCTCTGGTTCATCTGATAAAAAACAGGAAGAAGTTCGTTCTAAGTCTCTTACGGTAAGATTTGTCTTTTAGATACTTGTTAGTAATGTTTAGATACTTGTTAGTAATGTTTAGATACTTGTTAGTAATGTTTTCGTTTATAACTGACCATAGTGTTGGGGATTATTGTAGTTTTTAATTATGCATGAAAGCTGATGTTGTTTTGCCATACTGTTAACCAACTAATTTTTTTGAGCGTTTTATTTTTGTGACTTTGACGAGAAAAAAAAAATCCAAAATAAATCGACGCTGACATGTAAAATTTGAATTGTTCCTTATTTAACTAATTCAAGTATATTTGAAAATCACCAAATTAAATCTCAACGAAGTGGATTAGAAAGGGCTAAACGTGAAAGGGCTAAACGTGTGAAAATAAGTTGGCTTACAATATATTGTAAACCAACTCATTTTCACGTTATTATCTTTCTAGCTGACTTCACAATCATTTTTGTCAAGCCTGCGACTTTTGTCGCAGAAAGCTTGACATAGGTATAGTGATCCGGCAGCGGCGATAGCTAACTTCTTAAAAGCTTTATATTTTCCAAGGTGGAAGACCTGGGTGCTTCATACTTTGTATATAGATGCCTTATGTTATGAAGTTTCCGTCTGTCATATGTCCATTGTCCTTGACCTCATTTTCATGGTTCAGTGACTACTTGAAAAAAAGTTAAGAATTTTTGTAATGTTTATTTCTCTCTTATTATGAGTAATAGAATAACTATTTTTAATATGTGCATACCTTGCAAGGTCCTCATGCCTGTCAGACAGTTTTCATATGACCTCGACCTCTTTTCATGGATCAGTGAACAAGGTTAGGTTTTTGTGCTCAAGTCCATATATCAGATACTTTAAGCAATAGGTCTACTATATTTGGTGTATTGAATGATTGTAAGGTGTATATGTCCAACTGGCAAGTGTCATCTGACCTTGACCTCATTTCCATGGTTCAGTGGTTAAAGTTAAGTTTTTTGTTTTGGTCTTTTTTTCTAATACTATATGCAATAGGTCAACTGTATTTGGTGTATGGAAATATTCTACAATGTACATGTCAGTCTGGCAGGTTTTATTTGACCTTGACCTCATTTTCACGATTCATTGCTCAGTGTTAAGTTTTTGTGTTTTGGTCTGATTTTCTTAAACTATAACCAATCTATAGGTCAACTATATTTGTTGTATGGAATGATTGTAAGGTGTATATGTCTGTCTGGCAGGAATCATCCGACCTTGACCTCATTTCCATGGTTCATTGGTCAATGTTAAGTTTTCATGGTTAAGTTTGTTTCTTAGATACTATAAGCAATAGGTCAACTATATTTAATAGATATAGGAAGATGTGGTATGAGTGCCAATGAGACAACTCTCCATCCAAGTAATTAATGCATAGATTGATTTTAAGGTGTACATGTCTGTCTGGCATGGTTCATCTGACCTTGACCTTAATTTCATGATTCATTGGTCAATGTTTAGTTTTCCTGTTTAAGTCTGTTTCTTAGAAACTATAATCAATAGGTAAACTGTATTTGGTGTATTGAATGATTGTAAGGTGTACATGCATTTCCAGTTTGGTTTATCTGACCTTGACCTCATTTTCTTGGATCATGTTAAATTTATGTGATACTTTTAGTAAAGCTTTATATTTAGGACTATCAACATAAAATCAGTGGTCAGTAAAGAAGGCGAGACATTTCAGCGTGTGCACTCTTGTTATTTTTATTATTTTTCATGCTTATACTGAAGATGATCTATGTATGACACGTGCACTATACCTCATATTCTCTTTATTTTTCTTCTCTTTATGATTACCAAAATAAACTGCTCAGAATTATTAGTTGGTTAACAGTAATAGATAATTTTGTAATAAATTGACCGTGTATGACCTTAACCAAAATAAACTGCTCAGAAATATTAGTTGGTTTGCAGTAATAGATACTTTTGTAATATTTTGACCTTTGTATGACTTTCTTACTATTTAATACTATTAGGAATTGACACCAATTTTTCCAGCTGGACAGGTAGATAACTTAAGTCATATAATGACATGCTGGTCACACAATCTAAGGTCAACATTAAAATCATGTTTTTTTAACAAAACTTGACCAATAAAACTGAAATTTTCTTTATTTTCTAATTTTGACACTTTGGAATGATTGCAAAAATTGCAAAGACACCTATTGTCATTCTACCTTAAAACATATAAGGAAGAAATATAGAGTTAAAAAATTAAAAAGAATGACTTATTGACTGTGAGATGAGTAACATAGTACATTTTTAGTATGACCTTGAGTAATATAACACATTTTTAGTATGACCTTGAGTAATATTGTATTTTTAATTTGACTTTGAGTAATATATCATATTTTAAGTATGACCTTAGATTGGATTTATCGTATGACATGTCTTTGTATTTAACGGAGGAGGTGGGATTATTATCTCTTAAAACTAAAATCTTGGACGATTTACTAAATTATCTCCCATTATTAATAACAAACAAAAACCCAAATCTTGTATGCTGTATTATATACTTAGATACTGTCATCTTATAATCAGTCTATATTGTATATAAAAGTTCTTATAGAATATCTTATATAACATACTTATAACTTATTCCTAAATAACAAGCATTACTGTGACTATCTTATGGCTATAACCATGGTACATAACTCTTGATTTACCTACTTTAAGGAACATTTATTTGTATGGTCTTAATTATAGGTACTATGAAATCCAAAAATCTGAAATGTTTAGAGAATGAGTTGGGATGTGATAAACTGTCATTTTTATCTGTATCACTATCGCCGAAGCAGGTCTAGTAACCACTCCTCTCCGTCTGTCTGTTCAAAAGACCTCTTTGGTCAAATATCTTAACTTCTATGGACCGGAATGATTTTTTATTTAGTCTGCAGCTTGATAATTTTGACATCTGCTGTACAGCCACTTCCTGTTTGCTGATAGTTTGAAATTTTACAACCCTTTTTTTGTCACTTTTTGTGTGGCTACTTTGGAAGGGAATGGTCAGTTATGCTTCAGTATACATGTTATTTAAAATCAAATGTATGCAGACCCAGTATTGGTCTTATTCAACAGACTAGTAGCCTTTTATTGTTCACTTGTGGTTATCAGCTGCTATTGGCAAGGTGAGTTTGACTCATTAATGTCTGGGATTGTCAGTTCTCCTGCTGAAAGTATATGGTTCTCTTCAGGTACTCAGGCTTCTTCCACAATTAAAAATAGGTCACTAAGATGTAGACAAGTGTACTGATATTGATGTAAAACACTAATTAACAATCAATCAATCTCCAGACTTCACTCTATTTTTATCAGTATATGATTAATTCTCCTTTCCTGGTATTTACATTTTGAGTAATTCTTATTTAGCTTTATATATCTAACCTGTTCTCAAATAAACTTAAAATTAAATCTTTATACCTATCTATAATACTATTTGTATAATTTGTATACATATAATTGACTCCAATCAAACAACTGAGTGGAATCAGGTTAAGAATAAAAACAACCAGTCTTCCATTAATAATATTACTTGCATATGTATATTAGTTATCAAAAGCTAGAGTTTTATTATAAAAATTGATGTAATTCCTCTTTTCATTTTTTCAACATAATTTTGTTGAGTAGTTATCTCCCTTGGAGAGACGACTGGTTTAAAGCAGCTAATTTCAAATCAAGGACATTAACATTTTATATTGATATTACATGTTAATGAATTTTATAGATCTTTCTTGCTGAAATAATTGAATATAAATCAACTACAAATGTTTAAAAGATCAGTCTTCTCATTCCAACATTTAATAGAAGGGAAATAACTCAACTATGAAAAGAGGAATGAAATGTTTTCTGCATGTGTAACATATTAATACAATGTAATTGCACACAGTTTTGTGCTTGTTTGATTTGAATTTTCATGATATAAATCATTTCAAAGTAATAAAAGTTTTGTGATTAGATTTTGAAAAAAACAAATTCAGATGCTGAAGATAAACACGAAAAGTTGTGCAATTACAAGTTTTATTATCTTTCTGCTTATTAATGTATTTTTCTGTCTTTTTTATATTACTTTGAACCTTCAACTTGCATGATGTTTTGGATATTGACTTTTCACCTTTGACCTTTTAACATCAGGCCTTACCTAATATACCTGCATGTTCAGAGTTGAGTGACAGAGATAAAGGGGACAAATCTCTACCAAAACAGGTAAGAAACATAAATAGGAGTTATCTCCCTTTAATTTAGTTACTTGGGGTTATGGCAAAGACTTGCAGATGGTTTGTTAATATCATTAGACTGGTTTTTATTAGTAAATCTTTGAATAACTACAATATTTGGTTACTTTTTAAAAAAAACTGTCAATTTTTACATCACAGAGAGTTTGCACTGCAAGTAAGCCCCTCCAATAGTTTGAAGTAAATGTCATTTTTATACATTATGAACATATTGATCTTTTCCCATTGCTATGTTTATTGTTAACTATTGAGAATCTTAAACATTATACCTCGTGACACACTCATATATATCCATTGCTGTATGTACAGTGCTAACATGAGAATCTTGAACATTATACATTATGACACACTCATATATTTCCATTGCTGTATGTACAGTGCTAACATGAGAATCTTGAACATTATACATTATGACACACTCATATATTTCCATTGCTGTATGTACAGTGCTAACATGATAATCCTGAACATTATCTTTTGGAATACTTCCTTGCAATCAATGTTTGTAATTTGAGTTTTCTTTTTTCCTGCATGTTTTGTTTAACTTTTGAACTTTTGTTTAACCTTTGAAATTTACACTCTAGGCTATAGCTGGCACACCTAATTTCATTAACTTTATATGATCTTTGAACAATATTTAGCTTGTACAACTGAAGTGTTGTATATAATTATATATGTGCTATATTTGACCTTTGAACTATATGTAGCCTGATTAAGTGTTGTGTATTTTCATGCTGCACATGGGCAGAAAGCACCGCTGGTAAAATCTTGTAGTTCTGGTGTTCTAGATGTAGCTCTACCTTATAGTAAAAGCAAAATATTGCCAAGATTTATAAGTGCTGTTCCATCATTGAGACAAACTAAACACACCAAACAGTCAAAACTAGATTTGAAAGTTGTGAAAGCAAAACCATTTTTGGGCAGGAAATCATTTGTTCATAAACAAAATCCACAATATCTTCCATTTGTAAAATTTGGAAATGAAAGTAAATCAGGTGGGCCTTCATCAGGTGGACCTTTATCAAATGGACCCTTAATGCTGCTGTCTCAAGACCATATGATGAAGATTCAGAAAATTTTTGTTTCTGAAAGAAATGATAACAAATATGAGAAACCAAATGTTGAGGACAATCAAATCAATGGTTTATCTAAAATGTGGAACATGAACTCAGAAAGAACTCAGATCAACCCAACAACATTCATACACTGTAAAGAAATAAATGAATCTGAGGTTACTCAGGAATGGAAAGTTCACAAAGAGAAATCTCTAAAGGGAAACAAATCAAATGAAGAACTGATTGATGTGAAACCAAAGACATTTACATTAGATTTTAATGTTAACAACACAGTTACTCAAATTAAACGAAATAAAACCTGGTTTCAAACAGGGAACCAGTTCAATAGTTTACATCAAACAGAAAGTAGCTCTAGTCCTCTTGCTCAAACAAAGAAAACAGATGTTGACACATGTGTTGGGAATTTTAAATTTGTGAACTTGAACAGATAATTAACAGTGAAATACATTGAAGTGTGCTATGATTAAACTCACACTATTTTTCTTTAAAAAATTGATAGAATAGTTCTTTAACAAATTGTTTTAAAGAATTTAGATGAACTTGAGCATTTGCTATTAAAATTTTACCTGTAAACATATGATTGTGTGTGTATGTGTCATTATATTTTTATTATTGCGTGTTTGTATATGCGTGTCCTTTGTCCTTCTTTCTGATTAGTTTGTGTTTTGAATGGATTAGTAGGGATATGGTGTAATACATTACTGTTAATTCAGAAATTATTGCCATGTTTTTATTAATGTGAAAAATGGGACAGTTTCATGTTTGCATTGATATAAACTCGCGCCATAAGGCCAGCTAAAATTAATTAATAGGTTTTTATTCAGCTGGTTAAAAAAAATGTGGCGGATGGGAGGATTTTATTTTACATTTTCTCAGAAACCCTTCGTAATGTGTTCTTCATATGTAAGGGAAATAATAAGCTTATATCATCCATATTTAAAGAATTCTGCACATTTTTTCAAAGTCATGAATAAAAATTTCTGATAGGCAACCACTGTCTAATTGCTTTAGAAACCTACTTTCAGTAAATAGCAAAAAACGTGGAGAAATGCTACCTACAGCAAATAACCTTGCTTTTTAAGCTTGGTTTATAGGGTTGATGCTTTTAAGATTCATATGCAAGGTGCAAATATAATTTTATTAACTAGTTATAAACATACAATGTAAAACATGAACTTAACCAAAGAAGAAGTTGTTTAATGACTCTATTGGGTGGTTTTAGATAGAGGGTGTTTGATGTTTGTCAACAAAAAAGGACAGTCTTGGGGTAAATCTAAGGGCTTGCTATATGTTGGTTGACTTTCTATACTCAATATACGGTCCTAAATTGCACAAGTTCATACTTTAAAATAAAAAAAGCGGGGAGGGACAATTTCAGAGGGGTGGGCGTGGATGTAAATCTATCAATTAATTTTGATCGGCCTAATTTCATTAGTGATTTCCCTGCTTAAAATGTTTGCAATTTCGTTAATTGGATTTCACATTTTTGCCAATGGTCAATGATTCGCAATAATAAATGAAGGCATTTATTTCTGAATTTACAGTAATTCATAACATAGAATGACTACACACACTTGACAAAACATGGTGTAATTGCTGTTCTTCCTCTTAATGTCACAGTGAGTGCTTCAACAAATAACAAAGCTCACACCTAATTTCCAAGTATAGAGCAAGCCCCTAGGAGTGGTTGAAATGGCATTCCTTGTTAACAGTCATGAACACCACATCTGTGCATTGAAGGACACAGGGAAAGGGGGGAATCAACAAACTGCACACTCTATCTGGTTAATTAATCTAAAGAAAACTGTCATAATTTGTTGGACAATATCATTGATTTTGTCTGTCAGAGTAGTTCGAGTAGTCAGAGACAGAGTTGTCCAAGTTAAGTCAGAGACAGAGTAGTCAGAGTAGTCCGAGTAGTCAGAGACAGAGTAGTCCGAGTAGTCAGAGACAGAGTAGTCCGAGTAGTCAGAGACAGAGTAGTCCGAGTAGTCAGAGACAGAGTAGTCCAAGTAGTCAGAGACAGAGTAGTCCGAGTAGTCAGACAGAGTAGTCAGAGACAGAGTAGTCCGAGTAGTCAGAGACAGAGTAGTCTGAGTAGTCAGAGACAGAGTAGTCCGAGTAGTCAGAGACAGAGTAGTCCGAGTAGTCAGAGACAGAGTAGTCCGAGTAGTCCGAGACAGAGTAGTCAGAGTAGTCCAAGTAGTCAGAGACAGAGTAGTCCAAGTAGTCAGAGACAGAGTAGTCAGAGTATGCTATTCAGTTTTAATTTATTGTTGAGAACATAAAGATTTTTTAATCTTGTATCCCTGACTTTAAGGGAGATAACCTGCTATTTATTTTAGATAGATTTTTACTTGATATTTTAGCCATGTTTATTACCGTTAAAGAATGCAAGTATTTCCTTACTTATTAGAGTAGTCAGGTTATAGTATTCAGTTGTCATGTTTTGCAGTAGACAGGTGACATGTTTGTTGTAGACAGATGACATGTTTGTAGTATAGAGGTGACATGTTTGTAGTAGAAGGGTATTCAGGTTATATGTTTGCAGGAAGTAGATTTCAGTTTAATTTAGATACAGACTGTTGTCTTCTTTCCTTCATTAGATGAAACTTTTCATAGAATATTTTAACCTTTTTATTTTTCAAGAACTTTTCAGTTGTAAGAGATATTTACCAATTTCCTAATTGACCCTGTAATTGGAGTAAAAATAAGAAGATGTGGTATGATTGCCAATGAGACAACTCTCCACCAGAGACGTAGGTGTTAGCAGCTTTGAATACAATGTTTTATGATTGCCAATGAGACAACTCTCCGCCAGAGACGTAGGTGTTGGCAATTGTGTAATTATAGATCCATTTGTATGAGTTGTTTCCTTTAAAAGTGACAAATTTTCATTGACAATGAAGAGCTAGCAAAGAAAGCAAATTTATTTGGGTGTAATCTTTTAGTTTTCCAAATCTTTTATTTACATTTAATCATTAAAATCTCAAATTAATTGATATAGATAGTTATTTTTTTAGCTCACCTGGCCCTTTGGGCCAAGTGAGCTTTTCTCATCACTTGGCGTCTGTCGTCATTAACTTATACAAAAATCTTCTCCTCTGAAACTACTGGGCCAAATTTAACCAAACTTGGCCACAATCATCATTGGGGTATCAAGTTGAAAAAAATGTGTCCGATGACCCAGCCTGCCAACCAAGATGGCCAACATGGCTAAAAATAGAACATAGGGGTAAAATACAAGTTTTGTCTATTATTTTGAAAATCGTTATAAATAGAGAAAATCTGAAAAGGGCAAAAATGTTCAGAATGTTATTCTCTACCAATTGTTCATATATGCCAAAACTGTAAGACGACTTCTTAGAAAGTTATTGCCCTTAAATGACAAATTTTACCATTTTTTTCCTATTTTGCCTATTATCTTGAAAACTATAATAGCTGGGGGGAAACTTTAAATTGCAAAAATGATCAGCAAATCAAGTTCTAAAAATAAGTCTGCATGGTCAGTCGACTCCTAATTAGAGTTATTGCCCTGTGATGATGATTTTTTCGATTTTTTTGTGTTTTTGCCTTATATCTTAAAAATTAAAATTTATAAATCAGAACTTAAATAAGCAAAAATGATGAACAAGACAAAATCTACATTTTAGACAATATGGAGGGAATCGTCCGACGACTCCTTATTGGAGTTATTGCCCTTTAATGATGATTTTTATCAATTTATTGCGTTTTGCCTTATATGATAAAAATTGTAATAGATAAATAGACACTTTAAATCACAAAAATGATCAGCAAGGCAAGATCTACTAACAAGTCAAATTTTGCCGATCTAGTTAGTAGATTGTCACTCTTTATAGGAGTGATTGCCCTTAAATGAGGATTTTTTTTTACCCTCTTTTGTGTTTTGAGCAAAAACTAAAGAAGATAGAGAGAAAGTAAACAGACTAAATGATCAGCAATACAAGATCAACAAAACAGATTTTTGTCATTAATTCTAACAAGTCTACAATGTTGGAGAGGGTCCTTTGTTAAATATGCACATAGACCAAGGTGAGCAACACAGGCTCTTTAGAGCCTCTAGTTTCTTTAAAGTTTGTTCATATATGCCAGCTAATTATCACTTTCAACTTATTATGCTTTGCATGAGCAGCAACCTGTTTTGTCTAGTAAAGAACCAGTCTACAATTGACAAAGGGAAACAACTTGTTTAATAACAGAATTAAATCCCTGATTGGCAAACAGACTATTGTATAAAACCTTATATATATTAACTTAATATAACTGGATATAAACATGAGAATAATGAAAAGTGTCACGAGAGGAGCAGGATATGCTTACCCCTTTTGAGCACATGAATTTGTTTATTTTTATTTTTTAAGGGGGGAGTGTTTTAATATCTTTAGTTTTCTGTTTTTATTGTTTTGTTGACTTTCTCTTTTCTTCATTCCTTCTTTGCCTTTTAACTTTGATTATCTCCCTTGTTATCTTCTTACTTTGATTATCTCCCTTATTATCTTCTTACTTTATTTAGTTATTAAATTGTGAAGATAGGCTGTCACAACAGACTTGATTTTTAAAATGACAGCTTTCTGCACAAAATAGACATACCTGCCAACTTTTCAAAATATTTATGGGGATTTTAAGCACAAGAAGACCTAATGCTGTTATATTGTCACAAGTGTTATTAATCTACTACTATATTATTTTGATGAGTATGTATGTGCTTAAATACCCTTTGAACTCATTTGAATGACTGTAGGTGTTGAGGTGTTCAGTTAGAATAAAGAATTTCAAAATTCAGGTCAACACGTCTCATTGGGGATATCCCCCATAAATCGGGATAGTTGGCAGGTCTGAATTATACATTTGCTACACAATGTAAACGATAGTGTTATTCGGATTACTAATATACAGTTCTATGCTTGTATAAAACATAACATGACACAAACTGGGGATAAATCCATTATCTACGTCCATAAATACCTTAGATAAGGAGGTTTTAAAACCCTTCAGTACCCTGTACCTCTTGTGACCACAACTACTAATAGCAATAACTAAGATAGTAGAAGTGTACTGTTTAACACAGCAAGTATTTTAAGTAATGTTTAAACTGTTAATTTTAGGTGTTTCGGGGAGCTCTTGTACTTGAGAGGGCTAAGGTAATAACTTGTTTGTTTATGTTTGCATGTAAAGTGATACAGCATGATTAGTATTGACCAAATGTAATATTGTTTGGATTGAATAGTAAAACACTTAATGTCTAGATGTTGTTGTAACACTGGGAATTCATTTAGTTTCCATGGAATTTGACGCAATGCACTGGGAATTCCTTTATTTTCCTTGGAATTTGACGTAAAACATTGGGAATTCATTTATTTTCCATGGAATTTGATGTAATACACTTTGAATTCGTTTATTTTCCATGGAATTTGATGTAATACACTGGGTATTCATTTATTTTTCTTGGAATTTGGCGTAAAACACTGGGAATTCTTATTTTCTGTGGAATTTGACATAAATTCGACAGAAGCTTTGTTATGATAAAAAATAGTATTTAGTGCAAAATTATGAACATATTTCTGTCTATTGTTCTGTATTCTACTGATAAAAGGACTTAGTTCTTGTTTTGCAGTTAATATATTGTTAGACATCAATTACTTTGTCAAACCTTCATAGAATTTTACGAAAACTTTTGGCAGAAGTTTTTTTTTTTATTAAGATATAATGTCTGAACCAGGCATGGGGCGAATTACATTGCAATGTAATGCATTATATTACAATTACTTTGACCAAACCATGCATTATATTACAATTACAATTTAAATACATGCATTTATCAAAGTAATGCATTATATTACAATTACTTTTACAAAGTAATGCCTTGAATTACACATTACATTTGAAAATTTTATAAAGTGAATAGAAAAATTAAACATTTTGAAAAACAACTAGAAGTCACAAAAGATTCTAGCATATGCAGTAACTGTTCCATGAATTAAATATAAGTATACGCGTAAAAAGTCTATTTTATTCGGCTTTTACAATTTTAATTATTAATGTTGACTTTACTTAAATTATAAATATACTTTTTGTTGTTTTTTTTTAAATTTTAAATGATATATTTAATTACTGTGAATTACTTCCCTAATTATAAAATAACATAGACCTTAATTAATGAACATTTGCATAACTGGTGACAATTTTGATTTTAAAACAAACTAATTAGTGTTTTATAACAAAGTTTAATTATCTTTTATTTAAGCAAGACAAGATATTCTTTGATCTTATGACAACAATACAGTTATGTTTTTCAAATATCAATCTTTTTATGCAGGAAAATGTATGAAATAAGATGAAATAAAGAATATATTCTAATATTGATTAACATATTCTTAGTTAATCAAGAAATCTTACATTTGGTTTAGTTAAAACCCCAACAATATGTTAAAGATGTAGTATGTGAAAAAAGTAATGACAAGTAATGCCATGTAATGCATGAAATTACACATTTTTTTGCTAAAGTAATGCATTATATTATAATTACATGTAATGCACAAATTGCTGCATTTTACATTACATGCAATTACTTGGAAAAATGTAATGCATTACCATGCATTACAATTACAAATTTGCATTACCCCATGCCTGGTCTGAACCAAAGTTTTTTTAATTATTTTTTTCCTTTTCAGTATTTTACTGATAGATGTACTTAGTTTTAACAGTTAACATTTAGTTACGGTCTGGGATTAAACTTCTTTGAAATTATAAATTTATCTCCTTCATGGATTTTTATGAAACTTGGACAGAAGCTAATCTTCAAAATCAAGGAAGAGCCTCTGAAGAAAAAAGTTTGATGAAAGAAAAAAAATCTGTATTTTACTGATAAACGCCGACATGCTTTCAAGAGTCAATATTAAACTTTTTCACTGGAAGCATTAATCAGGGCCGAGACAGGCGTAAAAAATTTGAAAAAAAAAAAAAATTTTATCTGCTTACCCTATTTTCTGCCAGTAGGCCAGAAAAAAGTGTATATTATTTTGGTTGATATATTTATTATCAATATAGCTCTGGAAATTTTCTTAAGATTATTTAAAGGTATATTTCCTGTTCTAAGAAATGATGATTAAATGCAGAATTATTTGTAGTTTCTTACAATTAGTTTCATTTAAATTTTGAATTTTATGTGCTCTGCTCAGATAGAATTATTCTATGTATCCATCCGTTTGTCAGTCCCAATATCAGTTTAAAGTTTTGGTTTAAGTACTTTACCATTGGGAAGTGGGGGCCTTGATGGCCGAGTGGTCTTAAGTAGTTTATCTTCTGTATCACTAGCCTGTCAATAATAAGGTAGTGAGTTTGAACCTTACACGTTGTTCGACTACCAATCTTAATTGACTTAAGGATTGTCAGTTTTCCTGCCGCAGGTCGGTGGTTCTCTCACAGCACTGTAGCTTCCTCCACCGATAAAGAATGACTGCCACAAAACAGCTGATAGTGCTGAAAGTGGCATTGAATACCAAATAATCAATCAATCAATCATAGAGAAGTTGTCACATCAACTTCAAACTAAGTTTGCATGTTCATTTAAATGCGTGTTTTTTTTTAAATATTTAAAAAATGACGAATTTTGACATGGATTTTTGTGGAACATAGAAGTGTGATGATGTACACAGGGTAGTGGTGTCCTATAGACAAACTCTCATTAATTGGTATTTTTTATTGTCACTATTTATACCCCCACTTTAAAACATGAATATTTTTCGTTGCATCTTTCTCAGGAACTACATCATAAGGATTTCTGAAATTTGGTTTCAGGGTTTATATAAGTCAGCTATACCGTGTGATGCATTTTCAGATTCATCACTCAACAACTTCCTGTTTACCAAACACTTACATAATTTTACAGATTTTCGTCACATTTATCTCAGGAACTACATTACAAGGATTTCTGAAATTTGGTTTCAGGGTTTATATGAGTCAGCTATACCGTGTGATGCGTTTTCAGATTCATCACTCAACAACTTCCTGTTTACTGTCAAGTATTTGGGTGGGGGTATCATCAGTGAGCAGTAGCCCGTGGTTTCACTAGTTATTATATTTGTGAAATTAGTATTATAGGTTGTGAATAACCTGTGATTGTCTTGACCATTGATATATATGTTGAAATTAGTCTCTGAATATAATGGTCAAAATTCAGGATTTTTAAAAGTTTATTGAATCATTTTAAATAGTAGGATGATATTAAGTGAAAAACAAGCTTTACATTTGTTATCACATTGTATATAACAAAAATATATATATATAATTTTCGCATTTTATTTAACAGTTTCCACTTCGTACTCGGTTTCCTAAGGTTAAACCAACAAAAAACAAAAGACCTTCGTCTTTACCAGTTGCTAAATTAGTCTCCATAGACTTGAAACCAGTAAGAATAGTAAATGGTCAAAGGTCTTTAAATTCTCTGGTAGAGTCTTGGTATCTATAGGATTTCTTCTGTCTCTTGGTTAGTTGGTTGGTTGGTTGGTAGATCTTTTTCTATGTGTTCAATTTAAAATCATGCATTTATAAAAAAAAATTGTTTGTTAAAATTTTTCTTAGATGGTTTTTTTGTTTTCTCTATTTGGTGAACTACTCATAAATTTTAACATAGCTGAAAGTTTTCATTTAATAAATAGTTATACTAACATGAGTGATATTAAATGTTTTTATCATAATATTAGGTATAGAAATGTCGTCACTTTTACATACATCGCTTTTAAGATCATAAAATCAATTTTTCTCATACATTGCCATTAGGTATAAGAAAATTATATTTTTTCATACTTTGCTATTACAGATTACAAAATACTTTTTATCATATACATGTATTGCTAAGGGATCACAAAATGTGATGTTATCTTACATTTTTGAGGGATCTCAAATAAATTTTTAGCTCACCTGACCTGAAAGGTCAAGTGAGCTTTTCTCATCACTTTGCGTCCGTCGTCCGTCGTCCGTCGTCCTGCGTCCGTCGTCCGTAAACTTTTACAAAAATCTTCTCCTCTGAAACTACTGGGTCAAATTTAATCAAACTTGGTCACAATCATCATTGGGGTATCTAGTTTAAAAAATGTGTCCGGTGATCCGGTCAACCAACCAAGATGGCTGCCATGGCTAAAAATAGAACATAGGGGTAAAATGTAGATTTTGGCTTATATCTCTGAAACCAAAGCCTTTAGAGCGAATCTGACATGGGGTAAAATTGTTCATTAGGTCAAGATCTATCTGCCCTGAAATTTTCAGATGAATCGGACAAACCGTTGTTGGGTTGCTGCCCCTGAATTGGTAATTTTGAGGAAATTTTGCTGTTTTTGGTTATTATCTTGAATATTATTATAGATAGAGATAAACTGTAAACAGCAATAATGTTCAGCAAAGTAAGATCTACAAATAAGTCAACATGACCAAAATGGTCAGTTGACCCCTTAAGGAGTTATTGCCCTTTATATTCAATTTTTAACCATTTTTCATAAATTTTTGTAATCTTTTACAAAAATCTTCTCCTCTGAAACTACTTGGCCAAATTTAACCAAACTTGGCCACAATCATCATTGGGGTATCTAGTTTAAAAAATGTGTCCGGTGACCTGGCCAACCAACCAAGATGGCCGCCATGGCTAAAAATAGAACATAGGGGTAAAATGTAGATTTTGGCTTATATCTCTGAAACCAAAGCATTTAGAGCAAATCTGACATGGGTAAAATTGTTTATCAGGTCAAGATCTATCTGCCCTTTAATTTTCAGATGAATCGGACAACCCGTTGTTGGGTTGCTGCCCCTGAATTGGTAATTTTAAGGAAATTTTGCCGTTTTTGGTTTTTATCTTGAATATTATTATAGATAGAGATAAACTGTAAACAGCAATAATGTTCAGCAAAGTAAGATCTACAAATAAGTCAACATGACCAAAATGGTCATTTGACCCCTTAAGGAGTTATTGCCCTTTATAGTCAATTTTTAACCATTTTTTCGTAAATTTTTGTAATCTTTTACAAAAATCTTCTCCTGAAACTACTTGGCAAAATTTGACCAAACTTGGCCACAATCATCATTGGGGTATCTAGTTTAAAAATTGTGTCCGATGACCCCGCCTGATACAAGATGGCCGACATGGCTAAAAAATAGTACATAGGGTAAAATGCAGTTTTTGGCTCATATCTCTGAAACCAAAGCATTTAGAGCAAATCTGACGAGGATAAAATTGTTCATAAGGTCAAGATCTATCTGCCCTAAAATTTTCAGACCAATCAGGCAACACGTTGTTGGGTTGCTGCCCCTGAATTGGTCATTTTAAGAAAATTTTGCAGCTTTTGGTTATTATCTTGAATATTATTATAGATGGAGATAAACTGTAAACGGCAATAATGTACAGCAAAGTAAGATCTACAAATAAGTCAACATGATCAAAATTTTCAATTGTCCCCTTAAGGAGTTATTGCCCTTTATAGTCATTTTTTTACAATTTTCATAAATTTTGTAAATTTTTGTAAATTTTTACATAATATTTTCCACTGTAACTACTGGGCCAAGTTCATTATAGATAGAGATAATAGTAAGGAGCAAGAATGTTCAGTAAAGTAAGATCTACAAACACATCACCATCACCGAAACACAATTTTGTCATGAATCCATCTGTGTCCTTTGTTTGATATGCACATAGACCAAGGTGAGCGACACAGGCTCTTTAGAGCCTCTAGTTTACTGGTACAATGCTATTCGGGATCATTAAAATATATAATTTCCTCACCAATTGATAAGGGAATTCTCAAATGATTTTTTTGGGTGATAAATTGCTAATGAATCACAAAAGAGAGGTGCAAGTAAGATTTTTCATGCATTCATAGGGATTATTAGGCCTCGGTGGCCGAGTGGACTATGAATTTCAAATAATGTATCACAAACCTGTCTATACTGAGGTTGTGAGTTCGAATCTTGCACATGGCAGCTGTGTTAACTCCATATCTTAGTTGACTATGATTGTCAGTTTCCTTTTCAAAGGTTGGTGGTTCTCTCTGGGCACTCCAGCTTCCTCCACCAGTAAAAACTGACTGCCATGAAATAGCCAACTGTGCTGAAATTAGCATTAAACACCAATAAATCAATAAATTTAAGGGATTTAACAATAATCTTCTCATACAAAGCTAAGGGATCACAAAATAGAATCCTTTCATAGATTTCTAATGAATCACTAACTAAAATTTTTCATTGGTTGCTAATGTTACCAGCACAAAATCATATTTCATCATCAATTGCTAAGGGTTCACCATATCTACACAAGGGTTCACAAAATCAGATTGTTAATTCATGCATTGCTAGAAAATAGCAAAACACGATTAGTGTTCTCATTATGATAGTTATAATTTGTAAATAATTACAATACATGTATGTTTTGTTTGAATCTGTAGTTTTGATTGGCTAATAACAATCATGAGGCAATCCAAAGTCATTATTTATTTCCATATAAAATACAACAGTTACGACTGCACATCATATCTAGCTGTGACACATAAAGCAATGCATAGAAAAAACAAACGAAAAGTTTATAATTTGATAATGTTGTAAAAGCATTTATTGTGCTTCATATTAAATGTGCTTTGGTCAACGCTTTTACACCCGAATAAAATTATAGAAATAAGCATTCAATTCTTAAATGAAGAAATTATTCTGTGAAGTGTGGTATAAATGGGGACATTCTGGAGAGACCTGTAGTTGAAACAATTATATACCAATATAGTGGGTTAGCATACCAATGATTGGTTTCCACAGAATGAAAAAAAAAATGCTTTATAAAAAAACAGTAATGAATTTTGATTATAGACATTGTCTTTGTTTTAAATTACATTGAATACATTATTCTTCAGACAACAACCAGTTTTGAGAAATTTATGAGATCTCAAAAGAAGGACGCCCACTTTGTCAGTAAATATGAGGGGAGAAGAAATGGTGGAATACCATGCTTTGCTGAAGAAAGGAGTATAGAACGGGCTCAGAAGGTAAACAGTTCCTTAAGGATGTTCGCTCCTCTTGCTTTTGAATTTTTGGCAGATATTCGGAATCCTCTGGTTTTATCAATGTAGTGCAATTACAAAATTTTCCTCACTAAATACTACTTTTCTTTTCATAATTTTATTACATATAGTTTAAAAAGCCATATTTGAAAATCCTATAAAATCCTTGTTATTTTTTCATAATTTTTTAAAGAAAAAGGTAGCCAATGTTAAATTATGAAAAGTCTAGAGAGAATTATTTCCTGCCAAATTTTCAATGGTTTATATCTCGAAAACAAGCACACAGACTCTTCATTTTTTTCTACTTTTCTAGTTCCTTTATTCATATACTTTCAATTTATAACCGTATTTTAAAAACCTTGTTATTTTGAAACAGAGTATTGAACATCCTTAAGATGACAGGCTTGTCATTTAGTTAGCAAGACATGTATTCTAATCACACTGATCAAAATAAATGAGGATCAGTCAATTACACAGGTTAAAAAGATTTGAATTTGGTTTTGTTTGCAAGACTTGCTAATATTTCTTACACTGTAAGTGACAGTGTTTTTATTATATATTTAACATTAGTTTATTTTGGAAAATACCTTAATGTCATATGACATATTTACATAGGTGAAGAAACTTTTATTAACTGGAAATATGTTTTTATGCCCCACCGCAGTGGAGGGGGTATTAGGTTTTACCTTTGTCCGTTTGAATGGCGGCGTCACTTTAACCTTTCTAGAGTTATGCCCCTTTACAAATGAAAAAAATGCTGAATTTTTCGTTTCTGTTCTCTTGCTCAAGTTTGCCTCAACCAAATGTTATGTAACTTATACACAATGCTTATTACCACAAAACTCAGATCAAGTGCAAATTTGGGTAGCGTCACTTTTACCATTCTTGTGTTAAGGTCCCTTTATGACATTATATGCAAGCGGAGGCTGGTCATCTGTGTCCCATGGACACATTCCCCTTTTATTTTTTACATGTAATAGATTTATTCTTTTCTTTTTCTTTCAGAGAATGGCCGATATGAAGAAAAGAACAGAGGAGGATAAGCAAAGAGAAATGGCTTTCTTTGTAAGTTTAGATAATAGGACAGGAATATTTTGGAGAACTTTTTCACTGTTCAAGGAAGTAAAATTGACTTCAAACATAGAAAATATTTTAAAGAAAATTTTTTCATTAGAACACTAAATAAATTAAAAACTAGAAAAGAAATATGTTTAATTTTTTGAGTTTTGATAATATTCATTTCACATTTATGTTAAAGTAAAGGAGTAAAGATTAAAATCTGTTTATTTTATTCCACTTCTAACTTTTCATTACACAATCTATAAATATTTTACTAGTCATATGACCAAATGATGGACTTTATAAACAGACAGCGACAACCTCCACCTTTATTTGAAAAAAGAGTATGTTTATGAAATTTAGTCTAATCCCATTGTTTTTAACATAACATTTGGTGGCAGCAAAATGTATATTTAATCAAATTTTGCATCACAGTTAGTAAATAATGTAATAAGAATGGCCTAATTTGATAACATTCCTAATCACCTCAATTCTTTAAGCTTACATCCTATTTGCATGAGTATGATATTTTAATTGCATGGGTAGTAGATTTTAGTATCTTCCTTCAGTTTATTTATCATGAGATATCTGTACTTTGCAGTTGGTATTTCATATATCAGCTGGTATTTTATAAAGCAAAGATAGACATCTTATTTCTTACAAAAGAATAATAAATTTTGAATGTATCCACAGAGCAAGTTTTTGTTGTTTAACAACTTTGTTAAATGTAAAGTTAGAGGTTTCCAGACTTCCATATTCTCATTGTAAAATATTGATATAAATTGCTTTTGTATTAGGTATCTCCAGCAATGGATAAATAAGGAATCAGAAACTTATTATTTATTAAATAGGTTAAATAATTATTGCTTTGCCTAAATTGGTACAGAATTTAACTGCTTTGGCCTAACTTGATATAGGATTTTAGTGTTACATAACCACCTAGCATAAAGGGAGATAATAACTTGATATAGGATTTTAGTGTTACATAATCACCCATCATAAAGGGAGATAATAACTTGATATATGATTTTAGTGTTATATAATCACCTATCATAAAGGGAGATAATAACTTGATATAGGATTTTAGTGTAACATAACCACCTAACATGAAGGGAGATAATAACTTGATATAGGATTTTAGTGTTACATAATCACCTAGCATAAAGGGAGGTAATAACTTGATATAGGATTTTAGTGTTACATAAGCACCTAGCATAAAGGGAGGTAATAACTTGATATAGGATTTTAGAGTTACATAATCACCTAGCATAAAGGGAGGTAATAACTTGATATAGGATTTTAGAGTTACATAATCACCTAGCATAAAGGGAGGTAATAACTTGATATAGGATTTTAGTGTTACATAATCACCTAGCATAAAGGGAGGTAATAACTTGATACAGGATTTTAGAGTTACATAATCACCTAGCATAAAGGGAGGTAATAACTTGATATAGGATTTTAGTGTTACATAATCACATAATCACCAGCATAAAGGGAGGTAATAACTTGATATAGGACTTTAGTGTTACATAATCACATAATCACCAGCATAAAGGGATATAATAACTTGATGTAAGATTTTAGTGTTACATAATCACCTATCAGAAAGGGAGATAATAACTTGATATAGGACTTTAGAGTTACATAACCACCTATTATAAAGGGAGATAATAACTTGATATAGGATTTTAGTGTTACATAACCACCTATTATAAAGGGAGGTAATAACTTGATATAGGATTTTAGTGTTACATAATCACCTAGCATAAAGGGAGGTAATAACTTGATATAGGTTTTTAGAGTTGCATAATCACATAATCACCAGCATAAAGGGAGGTAATAACTTGATACAGGATTTTAGTGTTACATAATCACCTAGCATAAAGGGAGGTAATAACTTGATATAGGACTTTAGTGTTACATAATCACATAATCACCAGCATAAAGGGATATAATAACTTGATATAGGATTTTAGTGTTACATAATCACATATCATAAAGGGAGGTAAATCAAATTGCTTTACCATCATTGAATATATAATATAATACTTATATCTTGTTTGTAAGATCAGCATAATTTTATGCATGATTTAACTAGGAGTATATTGGCATAATTACTTAGAAGAACATCAAATTTTACATCCTGGGCTATTAAGTATAGAAATAAATTGAACAGATATTTCGGACTACTAGAATATTGCTTCCCATAATTTTTATGTTAACAGATATAGTTAGAAATTAGTTGAATCATCTTAAACAAAGACCACGTTTTTTAGATTTCCTATGAAATGTCAATTTTGTATATTCTATTAACATATACATTTTTATGTAAAAACTAAGATTGTATTTTATTTTGAGCCTTTTGCTTTTAAGACAATTCCTGGAAGATATTCAAGTGAATTGATGCACATTCTGTACTTTTAAAATAGGGGTGTTAATTGACCTTGATTACACAGGAGAGGGGGAGGGAGGAGTCATGATATTTGTTCTTGACCACAGATAAGTGTGAATTTTCTCTCTTCTAGACCCCAGAACCTCGACTGCAGGTAATACTATTGTTTGGCTGTTGTATGTGAGCTAACATTTATCTTGTGCTGCAGACTTATGTTGTAAAGTTCACGGATTTTGTTTCACAGATTTTTTTATTGTTGCCTTGTTTTTGAGCTTTTTTTTTATTGTATATAAGTGTTAATTCACCCATGTCACTTCCTCAGATATGTAAAAATAAGGAAATGTGGTAGGATTGAGACAACTATCCATCATAAATCCTAATAATGTGGATTTAAGCAACTTTAGGTTACAACCTTCAATGCTGATAATATTCCATACCAGATAGTAAGCTTTAGAAGGTCTCTGCATGACAAAATGTAAATCAATTTAAACAGGAAAACTCATAAGAGGGTGGTAAAGGGTTATTTTCGTGCAACGTGTTTTGCCATTTTTATTTCTCATGCCGCCGTGAAAAAGCTTTGTTATTCACTGTGTTTCGTGAAATCGGTAAAAAGATCAACGTGCAAGGAATTTTTAATTGTTTGTTCATCATTAAATGGCAATTTTATTTCGCGTTCTTCCGTGCAGATACCCCCCTTTACGCCCCTTTCATAAGAATATGGATAACATTAAATGAATCAGTCATCTATATACAGTACATGCAACCTTAGGCGTTACTGTTTTAGCGATCAGTCAGCGGTCATCGATCAGTCACCGATCAGTCAAGTTCGCGTCAAACTCACGTCACCAATCCGTCAGACTTAAAGTAAAAGTTTTTGACGGATCGGACGGATAGGACCGATCGTCCTTTCTGACGGATTGAACTCTACTACGTCACATGATAAACTTATACAAATTTAGAAATCTTAGTTTCGTTTCATTTAATTAAAATGGCGACATGGAAAATACGAAACATTCAAGTACAAATGATCAACATCTTTTTTTATTAATTATTTAGCAAAGTTTTAAGAATTTAAAAAGAAAAGAAATATGCATATAAAACTAAATTTAAATATTACTATTAAAGAATGGCCATTTTCTTTTTAATTTAGGTTATATTTTTTGTGATTTTATTATTTTCCGAAAATGCTCTTGAAAATAAAATGAAATGATCATTTATTGCAAATTTCGATGTATTATTTTTAAATATTTTTAAGTATTTTATCCTTATAATCTTAAAATTTTTTAAACAAACGTATCCCGAGGCCATAAAATTAACAAATCACAAATAAAAATAAAAATGCTGCAAATTCTCTTAAAAATAAAAAAAATATTGGTAATTTTAAACAACGAGAACAACATTATAGTATATTTTTTCTGATAGGCTTTTAACTTAATAAAAAATAATCAATCCTAAGCTATGAAAAGTACAAAAATCCAATGACGGTCAATAAATTCCATTCAAATAAAGGAATTATTGCATTCTATTTCAACAAAAACAAAAGTTTATGCATATCTATCCTTCTTTATTCACATTTTATTAAAAAATTAGTTATAATGACTAATAGCAATTGCATTGCACTATTTCTGATATAAAAGAAGAAATATTTGTATTTCTATGCAATGCGAATATTAAATTTAGTATCTGATCCCTTCAATTCAACATATTTTATGAAATGCAACCAATCCTGATGTACAAAAAGTACTGAAATCAAATGGTGATTCATTATTTCTATCAAAATGAAGATATTATTGCATTCATTTTCAACACCAACAAAAGTTTAAGCCTTATTCTACTTACAATATTAAAATTCTTATAAAAAAAATAATCTTGAAGCCTTTGACATGTTTGAAATAACTTATTACAAATAACATTGCATTATTTTTTAACAAAACAAGAGAAATTAGTAATTTTAAACAATGCGAACAAAATTTAGGGATATTTTCTATGATCTTCTTTTACTTTTATGAAAAACAACCAATACTAAACTATGAAAAGTACAAACATCTAATGACAGTCAATAATTTTCATTCAAATAAAGAAATTATTGCATTCTTGTTCAACAAAAACAAAAGTTTATGCATATTTATCCTTCATTTATTCACATTTTATTAAACAATACTTATATAAAGGCATTTATAATGACTGATAGCAATTGACGTTGCATTATTTCTGATATAAAAGAAGAAATATTTGTATTTTTAAGCAATGCGAACATTACATTTAGAATCTTTTCCCTTAAATTCAACATATTTTATGAAATACAACAAATCCTGAACCATAAAAAGTACAAAAAGCCATAGGCATTCAATAATTTCTATTAAAAAGAGAAATTATTGAATTCTTATTTAAAAAAAAACAAAATTTATGTATATTTATCCTTAAATTATTCATATCTTATATAAAAGTACTTATCTGAATGCATTACTTATGACTGATTGCAATTGACGTTGAATTATTTCTGATATAAAAGAAGAAATATTTGCATTTTTAAGCAACGCGAAGACAAATTTAGTATCTTTTCCCTGAAATTCAGCATATTTTATGAAAAAAAACTAATCTTGATGTACAAAAAGAATCAAAATCAAATGACGGTTCATAATTTCTATCAAAATAAAGAAATTATTGCATTCTTATCTAACAAAAACAAAAGTTTATGCATATTTATGCTTCAATGATTCACATTTTATACAAAATTACTTATCTAAAGGCATTTATAATGACTGATTGCAATTGAAGTTGCATTATTTCTGATATAAAAGAAGAAATATTTGCATATTTAAGCAATGCGAACAAAAATTTAGTATCTTTTTCCTGAAATTCAGCATATTTAATGAAAAACAACCTATCCTGATGCACAAAATGTACCGAAATCAAATGACGGTTCATAATTTCTATCAATATAATGACATTATTGCATTCATATTCAACACAAAACAAAAGTTTAAGTATTATTCTCCTTACATTATCAAAATTCTTACAAAAAAAATCTTATTGGAGGACTTTGAAATAACAAGTTACAAATTACATTGCATTATTTTTTATCAAAAGAAGAAAAATTGGTAATTTAAATCAATGCGAACAACATTTTAGTATATTTTCTCAGATATTATTTTATTTTTTTAAAAAACAACCAATCCTAAACCATAAAAAGTACAAAAAAGCCATAGAAAGTCAATAATTTAAATTTAAATAGAGGAATTTTGAATTTTTATCAGACAAAAACAAAAGTTTATGTATATTTATCAGTAAATTATTCATATCTTATACAAAAGAACTTATCTGAATGCATTAATTATGACTGATTGCAATTGACGTTGAATTATTTCTGATACAAAAGAAGACATATTTACATTTTCAAGCAACACCAACAAAAATTTAGTATCTTTTCCCTGAAATTCAGAATATTTTTTGAAAAACAACCAATCCTGATGTACAAAAAGAACCAAAATCAAATGACAGTTCATAATTTCTATCAAAATAAAGAAATTATTGCATTCTTATCTAACAAAAACAAAAGTTTATGCATATATTCTTCAATGATTCACATTTTATACAAAATTACTTATCTAAAGGCATTTATAATGACTGATTGCAATTGACGTTGAATTATTTCTGATATAAAAGAAGAAATATTTTCATTTTTAAGCAAAGCGAACAAAAATTTAGTATCTTTTCCCTGAAATTCAGCATATTTTATGAAAAACAACCAATCATGATGTACAAAAAGAACCAAAATCAAATGATGGTTCATAATTTCTATCAAAATTAAGAAATTATTGCTTTCTTATCTAACAAAAACAAAAGTTTATGCATATTTATGCTTCAATGATTCACATTTTATACAAAATTACTTATCTTAAGGCATTTATAATGACTGATTGTAATTGACGTTGCATTTTTTCTGATATAAAAAGGGAAATTTTGCATTTTTAAGCAAAGCGAACAAAAATTTAGTATCTTTTCCTTGAAATTCAGCATATTTTATGAAAAACAACCAATCATGATGTACAAAAAGAACCAAAATCAAATGACAGTTCATAATTTCAGTCAAAATAAAGAAATTATTGCATTCGTATTCAACACAAAACAAAAGTTTAAGTATTATTCTCCTTACATTATCAAAACTCTCACAAAAAAACAAAATCTTATTGGAGGACTTTGAAATAACTAGTTACAAATAATATTGCATATTTTTTTATCAAAAGAAGAAAAGAAAAATTGGTAATTTTAATCAATGAAAACAACATTTAAGTATATTTTCCCAGATATTATTTTGATTTTATAGAATACAACCAATCCTGAATCATAAAAAGTACGAAAAGCCATAGGAGGTCAATAATTTCCATTAAAAGAGAGAAATAATTTAATTCTTATTTAACAAAAACAAAAGTTTATGTATATTTATTCTTAAATTATTCATATCTTATACAAAAGTACTTATCTGATGCATTAACTATGACTGATTGCAATTGAAGTTCCATTATTTCTGATATAAAAGAAGAAATATTTGCATATCTAAGCAATGCAAACAAAAATTTAGTATCTTTTCCTTGAAATTCAGCATATTTTATGAAAAATAACCAATCCTGATGTACAAAATGTACCGAAATCAAATGACGGTTCATTATTTCTATCAAAACAAAGAAATTATTTAATTTGTATTCAACACAAAACAAAAGTTTAAGTAAAATTCTCCTTAAATTATCAAAATTCTTACAAAAAAAATCTTATTGGAGAACTTTGAAATAACTAGTTACAAATAACATTGCATTATTTTCTATCGAAAGAAAAAAAATTGGATAATTTTAAACAATGCGAACAACATTTTAGTATCTTTTCTCAGATATTATTTTGATTTTATAAAAAAGCAACCAATCCTGAACCATAAAAAGTACAAAAAACCATAGGCGTTCCAATATTTTCCATTAAAAAAGAGAAATTATTGAATTCTTATTTAATAAAAACCATAGTGTATGTATATTTATCATTAAATTATTCATATCTTATACAAAAGTAATTATCTGAATGCATTAACTATGACTGATTGCTATTGACGTGCATTATTTCTGATATAAAAGAAGAAATATTTGCATTTTTAAGCAACTCGAACAAAAATTTAGTATCTTTTTCCTGAAATTTAGCATATTTTATGAAAAACGACCAATCCTGATGTACAAACAGTACAAAATAATGAAATGATTGCATCTTTAATCAACACAAATTAAAGTTTTAGTATTTTAATACTTATTTTTTTTAAATTCTATCAAAGAAACTTTTCTTGATATTTGGCCTTTTAAATGACTAATCAGAAATAACATTGCATTATATATGTTATAAAAAGAAGAAATATTGGTAATCTAGAACAAAAATTAAAACAACACTCTAAATTAATTAATCCAAACAAAGCTGTATGTATCTTTACTGTTCTACTATTTTTATTTTCATCATCTAACGACAACAAATAGAGTACTTATTTTAAATGATAACATTTTATCGCTTTTTAGTGATAAATAAATAACGAATAAAGGTGTCTTCGTAGAGGTCCGCGTTTATCGACTGTAAATACTGTGGAGTTCGTTTTACATAAGAATTTTAATTATATATGTATCCGTCCGATCCGTGAATACAATTAATTTACGGATCGATCGCTGACCGTTGTCACGGTAACTCTCATATAGCCTATTTGACGTATCTGACGGATTCTATGGGTCATCAGTCATCGATCAGTCAAACATCCGTCACCGATCATTCACCGATCAGTCAAGTTCACGTCAAACAGTAACGCCTAAGGTTGCAAGTACTGTATAGCTTTATCCGCATATGATTTAATTAAAAAATCAATGATTTTTGCTTGTTTAACAATACTTGTAAATGGACTTTTAGGTCTAAATTTTGGACCATTATTTTTGTTTGTTTATATATAGGTTCTTGTTTTGTTTTTGTTTTATTATAAAACTGATCATTTGATATTTGAAGGATTAATGTAAAACAAATTACAGTAAAATGAAGCTTTTGTGGATTGTTTGACATTGGTAGTGTTTAATGATTTTTGCAAAAATAAAAGTCAATTAAAAAAATAGAGATAAGCTAATTTGAGCCAATTGTTCGTGTATTATCTAACCAGTGTGTTACACTTAAAGGAGCTCATTGGAAATTAGAGGAAGTGCTTTTATCGCCAATCATCAGAAAGAAATCAATTTATAAGTGCATTTTAAGGCTTGTTTGCATAGTTTTAGCTAATTGTTTTATGTTTATCTTTTTAACCAACTTTAACATCAATTCTAAAAGAATTCAACCTCTTATCTAAAAAAAAAAGAACAGATTATTTACATAATGGTAAGACAGCAACCCAACAACACATGTCATATTACATATGGCTGATTTAATTACATAGAGTTCTAGAAAGAAATTAATGCAACTGATAATCTTAAAATGTTCTTCCAGTCCTGCATTTTTTGGGACAGTATTTCACAATATAACACAAAGCTTTTCCACTGAATACACTTATGTATGGAGATCAGGATTTCATATGTTAACACTTTTGTATGGAGATCAGGATTTTAGATGTTAACACATTTGTATGGAGATCAGGATTCTATGTGTTAACACTTTTTTATGCTGCACATATCCTCATATCATTCCTGTCATAGAGGTCGGAGTTTTTATATGCAGATTTATTAGCTAAAGTGTTATAATGTTCAAATATAAGCTGTATCTTCATGTCTTATAGAGATAAGCATATTTTAAGATAATTTATAAGAGTGCAGTGTTATGCGTTATAATTGGGTATTGGGTGCTTTCTTAAAACAGAAAGACTGGCTTGGATTTTTTGAATTTAAGTGAAACAAATTTTTTCCAGCCATATCTATTTTTGGCTATGATATGCAACAGAGATTTTCAGAAAATCCAATCAGTCAATGAATAATTTTATGACAGGATTAAATTGGTACTATAGATATTTGCTTGCTAGAATTTAGTAAGAGAAATTCTTACATTTTGACAGCATATCTTTATTGGACTGAGATAGTAAAAAGTATAAAAACATTATTGCTAATTGCAGAGAAAAATGGCATAAACAACTTCTGTTTGTACATCATCTATAAGGGCTAGCTGCAATATCTTTGTCCAAAAAATGTTGTCAAAATCAAGATTCTCTTATTTTTACATTTGACAATTTTGCTCACCTAGCTATTCTAAAAATGAAATGAAAATGTAGATTAAGACAAAGAAGTCAAAAAGCTTTTGCAAAGAAATGGAAATTAAGGGAACATGCATGGGGGAGGGGATAATTGCTTGGAATATTTTTGGTTGTTAATGTGACAAAATTCTCATCAAAATTTATGTTATTTTATTTTGTGCTTAATGAGAGCAAGAATTGTAAAAAACTGTAGTTTGTATATTTTTGCTAATTATAGGAATGGAATTTCCACTCTATAATTTGGGCTATTTATAGTTTGTGTATTAGCTAATTATAGATTTGGATTTTCAAGTCTATATATTTTGGGCTATTTATAGTTTGCTATATTTTCTATTTTCTGCTTTTTCTAACCTGCTATATAGTGTAATGAGGAAGACGGAATGTATAACCATCAAATTATGTCATTACGACGATCGCTAACACAAGATGATTTAAAACATCGTCTACAGGTGGCGCTACATGAAGGATCAGCCAACATTGCTCAAACTCTTGTAGGACTAAATGTTAGAACAGCCTACACTCATGCAGGTAAGGTTAACATGGTGATATTTTGTGAGTATATCTCAGCATAAATATGTTTAGTTGCACAGTATTTACTGAAAGTTGATCTCTAATGAAAATTAAGAAGTAACATTTGTGAAAAAAACTACCTGAACAGGTTATTTTCCATTTTCATTTTTTCGAGGAAATATTTCACCACATATGATTGTGCAATTGGATCATTTGAACATTTTACTTTAATCATCTAACACATATGTAGTGAAGTAGACAGAAGAAAATAACCTCAGGTATGCAATGTAAATATTTTGATTTTTCTGTGTTCAAAATAATGGTAATCAACTGTATAAATACATTTACACAGTTATATTACTTGGAATTTTCATATTGAGATTAACTTTCAGCCAAATATAAACTAAAAAGAGCATGTAAGATTTCTAGTTTCTATAATAACACAATTCTTTTTCTTTTTCTGCATAACATAAGAGTTCTGATAGTGATTTCACTGAGACGGTCTCATCACGGTTGCCACGGCGAATTATAACAGTTCAGCAAAATATACCAAGGGCACTAACTCCTCCACCACCAAGGAGGAGTTATCCTTTTGCTATATGTGAAGGTGTTCCTACATTGGAGGAAACTTTATCACAGATAAGACCACCACCCAGAGATCCATTTGAAAATTGTGAGTGAAGGTTGTGATGGCTGGCTATTTATCCTGTGAATTAACAGTTGTGAGAATGTGTTTGTTTGTGCTAGCCTGTCCAGTTTTTATTGTGTATTTCTTATTGTTTGTGCTAGCCTGTCCAGTTTTTATTGTGTATTTCTTATTGTTTGTGCTAGCCTGTCCAGTTTTCATTGTGTATTTCTTATTGTTTGACTGTTTACCAATAATTTACACTGTTTATGTCTGTGTGGCTGGTTGGGGTGTGATTGTCTAACATTTCTCGGCTAAACTGGGCTAGTGTACTTGTTGGAGTGTGATTTTCTTACATTTCTCAGCTAGACTTTTCTGGGCTAGTGTACTCGGAATATTTAACTATAACATGTGTTTTGATTTCTATCTTAGAAACTGTAGATTAAACTCCTTATATCTTTCTAATGTACTATACTCAGAATATGGTATATAATATACACATGCTAGATATGTTTGTCTTGTAGAAATCATTGTTAGGTTTAGTCATATACTGACTCTGGTGTTGGACATTACAGCAATAATTGTGTTTGCTACTTTAATCAGTTGTATTAAATGGAGGAAATTATACATTTGTTAATTGTACTAATTTAAAATCTCAGTGATTTTTTGACTTGTAAGAATTACAAATTGACATTGGTCTACATATTACTCCTATTAACTGGGATTTACAGGGATTCCCCCAGATTAGGCCATGGAAAAATGAATGTTGGGTTCTGCTAACATGTGAAAATTATTAAGGCTCTGCAGGAAGGAAAAACTTTATTTTATATTATTTTTTTGTGAAAAATCAGTTTTGCCCTACAGAGAATGTTGTTGTTAACCTGATATTAAATTTTTTCGTCTGCAAAAAAAAAAAAGAAGAATTGACCCGAAGGGTAAAAAAAGACCCGCTGGGTTAATGGAAACAAACAATCATATCTGCATGGCCTTACACCCATTCTCTTATTTACTTACACGGTTTAATTTAACCTGAAACAGATGAGATACAGATGATCTGACTGGGACAAAAACAATCAGACTGTGACAAGTACCAATTGGGTACACCCTTTAAAAGGCTTTTTGTATAGGACTTAGGACTAACAGGAGTTACTGCCCTTAGATAATCTTTTTTTTATCAAGTTTAGTATTTTTACTAAGTTCTTTGAAAACAATGTAAACAGAGAGTGCTTGTATAGAACAAATAAAGACTTTAAAATTGGTATTTAATGCTTCTTTAATTAGCACATGGCATTAAGGAGTAAAAGCAAAGACTGCTCGGCTAGGAGTTTGAATAATGTGTTAGGGTAGAGTGACATCTTTTCCTGAGGATCGTTACCTTGTGAACTATCATGTTAAAAATCTGATCTTGTACAAAGAACAGTTTATTATCATATCACATTAGCATGTTCTCGTCCTGAATATGCATTAAATTGCCACTGGAGGATAAACACACATCCAGCCATCTTCTAATACATATAGAATGTTTGTCCTAAAAAATGTATTTGTTTATTGATTGTCCAGTAGGTAACACCTACTACATGTAGTTATAAAAATGATCTTTTTAAAACATCAAACCTTAGCAGCATCCTTGTTCGTCAAAGGTCTAAGTACTTTATCTACAGTGATCCTGTCAACACTAAGGTTGTAGGGTCGAACCTAGCTTCAATCTTAACTGACTAGGATTGTTAGTTTTCTTGCCAAATGTTTGGTGATTCTTTCTGGGAACTACGCTTCCTCCACCAATAAAACTTACTGACATGGTATAGTCATGTGTGCTGAAAGTGGGGTTAAGACCAGCAATCAATCAACCAAACCTAAGCCTAAGTCCTTAAATCTCTTAAGGGGATAGATATAGGTTATTGGAAATGAATCTTAAAAATCACCGACACTTTTATATGTAAACCATTTCCAATATTACCAATTTACTCTTAAAGAGTTATCTCCCTTATCCCCGATCTTCCAAGCTAACATCCCCCCTAATAACTGTTGAATATAATTGTCGTGTATTATAAGTATGGTCAAAGGACCCCTCTACATTAATATTTGGATAAATTAACAATTTTCTTTCTCCTTTTGCTTCTCACATTACTACATAGCACTCTCTCACTCTCTCACTCTCTATCTCTCTCTCTTTAGTACTTGAATTAGTTAGATGTGGAACTTAGAAATTAGACTATTAATATATGGATTATGGGTGGTATATTTCAGGAAACTTTTAACTTGTGTACTTTCCATTCATAGTTTTTTTTTATATTTACAAATCACCTCCTTCAATAGACTATTATACATTTTATCATTTTATTTATATTTGTAACTGAAATTTTTGAGAAAATCTGAATTTTATTTGAAAGTTAGATCAATGAGTGTATACTTTTCTCAATTTACAACAAATGTTGCCAAATGGATATAAGAAGATGTGGTATGAGTGCCAATGAGACAATTCTCCATCCAAGTCACAATTTGTAAAAGTAAACCATTATAGGTCAAAGTACGGCCTTCAACACGGAGCCTTGGCTCACACAGGACAGCAAGCTATAAAGGGCCCCAAAAATGACTAGTGTAAAACCATTCAAACAGGAAAACCAACGGTCTAATCTATATAAAAAACGAGAAACACTTATGAACCACATCAACAAACGACAACCACTGAACATCAGGTTCCTGACTTTGGGACAGGTGCAAACAAATGCAGCAGGTTTAAACGTTTTAATAGGCGCCAACCTATAAGAATGCTTTCCTGAGTTGATGGTAAAGCTTTATATGTCATATGGTAAAAGAGTTGGGGAATCTGTCTACAGATGCCTAATGGTCTGGAATTACTGTGTCTGGCTTATTTCTGTTGTCCTTGACCTTAATTTCATGGTTCAATGACTGTATAAAAAAAAATGTGTATTTGTGTATTAAATAATAAGAGAAATCTGACAACTATATTATAGCTCCACCCTATCTCCTATTTGCCTAAATTTTCAATTTTTCATTATTTTCAAACCATTTGTCACACTTTTCTACTAACTGAACAAAATGAATACATATTTTGTAGCAGCTTTGAAGTGATGATTTGAAACATGCGAGTACTTTATGGATCTCTCAAACACCTACCTTCTGATTTCCAATACTTTGTATTATCCTCATCTCATGGGTTTTCATGCTATTTAGAATGGGTTGTGATGTTACAATTTCCATTGAAAAAGCATGTATAGTACAAATTCATATGACGTACGAAAACATATGATCTGACCATAAAAGTGAGGGTATGCTTAGCATATGTATTCTTGTCTGGTATATAGAATCTTTGCAAGATGTTTTATTCATCAGACAGGATTCAACTGACCAAAATTTTCATGGTCAATTGGTCATCTTTATGTTTCTTAATCAGGTTCATTTCTTAGATACTATAAATAATAGGTCAACTGTAGTGTGTAGATACTATAAATAATAGGTCAACCTTATGTAGTATGTAGAATGATTGTAAGGTTGACATGGTTTCCTGACCTTGACCTCAATTTCATGGTTCATTAGACTAAGTTTAAGTGATTAGGTCTGTTTCTCCAAATTAGGTCTACTTTATTTGATGTTTTGAGTGAATGTAAGCTTACATAAAACTGAGAATGGAAATGGGGAATGTGTCAAAGAGACAACAACTTGACCAAAGAGCAGAAACAGCCCAAGGCCACCAATGGGTCTTCAACACAGCGAGAAAATCCTGCACGGGCTTCAGCTGACCCCGAAATAAAAATGTGTACTAGTTCAGAGACTAAACTCCGTAACAATTGAAAAGAGCAAAGACTGGGGTCCATAATTTTGAAACAGCACACAGGAATTGAATAAAGTAAAAAGACAAAACTGTTCGGTTCTAATGGTTCATCTATCCTTGACCTCATTTTGATTGTTCATTGGTCAATGTTGAGTGTTTAGGTATAAGGTCTTGTTTCTCAGATGCTACACATGTAAGTTGTTAGTTTAATATTCCAGATGTACTTGTCTGTCTGTGGGGTTTCATCTGACCTTGATCTTAATGTCACAACTCATTGATAATGAATTTATTTTATGTGATAATTATAGTAAGACTTCGATCTTAAAGATTCAATCATAAACAATAAAGTGGATACTTGTAGGTGTTTTAAGGCTAAGCTTGTCTCCTTTCATTTATTTTCTATTAAAACGTGCGACTTAATTTAATCTAATAACAAAAGTCAAAATAAGTATTCTTATTTCTTCATGTTATATGATATTGTCAACTTTTATTTCACTGTGTACTTAAATATGTGTTTATGGTATCTGTATATGTGTTCATGGTATCTATATATGTGTTCATGGTATCTATATATGTGTTCATGGTATCTGTTTATGTGTTCATGGTATCTGTATATGTGTTCATGGTATCTGTATATGTGTTTATGGTATCTGTATATGTGTTCATGGTATCTATATATGTGTTCATGGTATCTGTGTATGTGTTCATGGTATCTGTATATGTGTTCATGGTATATATTAATATTTATATTACAGATGCGTTTAGAGACATGAATTCTACGATGCCATCACTACCTCTACCTAGAGACATCAGGTATTTATTGTCATTATATATTATTTTTTTGTACTTTCAGCTTCTTTTAACATTCATATTTCATTTGAGTTTTTGATTATGATTAACAGTGTGTAAATGATGTACACATTTTTTCTGCTTCTTTTTAATTAACTTACTGCTTGAATTATACTATGTTTAATGTTGTTTAACTTGTGTAATTTATTAACTTTTCTTGCAGTTGTAAACAGCTAAAAAGGTTGAATGAAAAATTTTTTAAGAATGTGACAGAAAACCAGTTAATATAAGATAAGGAGATGTGGTATGATTGCAAATGGGACAACTATCCTGCAGAGTCCAAATATTGTGATTTCAGCAATCATAGGACACTGTACAGCCCTCAACAATGAGCAAACCAATGCCCTAAAGTCAGATCAAAAAGGCCCTTACAAAGGCAAAATGTGAAACAATTTAACAAAATAATCTGCTAAAAAAAATATAATTATATGTGTTAACAATAAGTACATGTATATGTATTGTCAACATACCTTATGCTTTAAGCAATGTATTTGTTGCATACCTGCCAACCTTTCAGAGCTACATAGTGGTAGATCTTCCTCTTTCTAGTTCCCTGACGAGGGACATTATATGTGCAATCTTTTATTATTCAATGTCACAAATGCTTGTTTATCCTAATAACTTTCTGAAAGATGATCCTATACATGTATAAGGAGTAAATCTAGATTAACTCCACCTCATTTAATATTTATGGTCATGAATTAGAAGTTAGGAGATATATATATATATATATATGTATCCAAGGTGTGAGTTCGAATCCGGCTGAGGGACAAACAAAAATTTGTCAGCATAAAAATCTAACTCTAACACTGTTGGGTGTAATTTTCAGACTTATATAAATATTTGTATTAACTCTGTATCTCAAACACACTGAGATCCAGTGGGCATATATATATTGTATGGTTGTTACTTGCTTAGATTTGTTTGTATGATATACTAATTTCTAGTGACTGTATAATGAATTTAACCATTATCCCATACAGTATATAAAAATTGTTGAGTTAGATTGCTGACAAATAAAAAATACATTATGTATAAAATATAAATATAATATCTACACACGCTTAAAACACATGTCTTATGTCTATCTCTTAGATTCGCCTTCCGTGACAAGGTAACACTACGACTTTTGAAGTTATATTTTTATATAGCAGATGTGGTCGAGTGGTCTAGAGAGCTGGACATGAGGCTAAGCCATTGGTGCTGTAGTGTATCTAAGGTGTGAGTTCGAATCCCGCTGTGGGACGGACAAATATTTGTCAGCATAAAAATCTAACTTTAACACTGTTGGGTGTAATTTTCAGACTTATATATATATATATATATGACTGCAAGAATTGTTACTGTTTTATTTTGTTTTGCATGCTATCTGTATATTATTTACTAACCAATGATTACAGTACTGATGATGGAAGCGGTGAAAGTGAGGCTGACTTTACCTCCGCGACCTTATCTCTTGCTGCTAGGAATAATCCATATGTTCATCAAGATTCTGTTCAGTTACAAATGCTTCCGTTAGATGTCACATCAAAAAAATCATACAGGTATAAACAAATGCTTCCATTAGAAATAGGATATTCACATTTTAATACAAAGTACAGGTTTAAAGAATCTTCCTCATACCATCATACTAATGATTTTTTGGATATTTTTCACACTTCCACACAACAGGTTTTAGGTTTTTTTATCACACATCCACACAACAGGTTTGGGTTATTTTTCACACTTCCACACTCGGATTTGTTTTGATATCCACTTTTCCACAGTTCAAGTTAATGTTAATCCAACAATTCTACAATTTAAGTTAATGTTAATACCCACAAGTCCACACTCCAAGTTGTTAATACCCACAAGTCCTCACTCCAAGTTAATGTTAATACCCACAAATCCACAATCCAAATTACTGTTAATACCCATAACTCCACACTGCATCTTTATGTAAATACCAACAATTTGAGGCTATGATTTTTGTAAATACCCACAATTCACACTTTTAAAGAGTTTTAAGATCGTCTGAAAAACAATTTGGTAGTTATTTTGCCAAACACGAATATAATGCAAAAATCTTTTGCTTACAGTTTTGCAATTCTATGGAATAGCTTACCAATGAACATAAAAACATCAACATGTGAAAAGTTTATTTTTATTTAAATCTAAATGCTTTAAATATCTCTGTCAAGCCACACAGAGATAGTTTATTAATTAACAAAAACACAAAGAAACAATATTAATCTTATGTATATATACTACCTGCTTGGTTTTATTGTTTATTTGTATGTACTATATCATTTTAAACAAGTCTAAATTGAAAACAAAGTTCAAACCTATGATTGCGTTGGATAAAAAACGCAATTTTTATACGTGTGCATGCAAAACAAATTTCTTGGTAGAGGGGTCTAAATACAGCACAAACAACATTTTCCAAAAGACCTAAAAAGTGAAAAAGTATATTTTAACAAAACGCATTTGACTAAAAGGTCGAACAACAGATGTTCTTAATATATGTATACACTTACTTGATGAGAGCTCCAAGTACGATTAGTGAAAACTTATTGGGTTACCATCTTTAAATAAAGAATATTATTATTATTATCATTCTAATTCCATAATATGGTTTATTTAAATATCCGCAATTTCATACCTAAAAACATCAAAGGCAGACACAGGAAGTTCTTTAGAACAGTTTTTTGAAAGAAATTATCTTTTTAATTGAAATCAAATGTAATAAAATGAATTTCATTGAGCATTTTATTGTTATATTTATACAATCAGTTATGAAGCATCTGTCTTAACAATTAAAGTTTAGAATTATATTCAAAAGTAAAACATTAACATATATGTTGCTGTGTATATACAGTTGTGTTCTAAGTAAAGACTATTTCAAGGAGGGATGAGCCAGAAAGTAATTGTATTAAAAAAAATGACTGGTTTTAATAGGGAAAACAGTCTGACTCTTAAAGTGCTTGTTATAAAATGACAAAATGTTTTTAGGGTAGGTTAGGGTTAGCTGTAACACAGGTATTTTTGGAGGTTTAACTAACAGTAACTAATTTGCATACTTATATATATATAGATATAACTTACTTACATTGTATCATGTATCATAATAACTGTTTATTTATATATGGATTTCATCTACATAACAAGAACAAATTTTCAGTTGTTATGATAGAAACAAAGGAATAAGGGCAATAAGCCCCTATTTTGCCCAAATATTAGTGCAAATTGAAAAGTTACCATATATGTTCTTAAATTTGTCCTAACTACACTGTGGTACAAGGTGTTGAGAAAATAATAACAAATTCACATTTCATGAATTGCCATGGAAAAAAACCATGACGAAATTTGGGTTTTTGGTGAAATTTCTTTATTTTTCTATAACAACTTCTTAGTATATACATTGTATGTGATTAGAAAAGTATGTGCACACCCAAGAAATAGTAATATTAAGCAATGAAATAAGGGCAATAAGCCCCGGGGGCCTCTTATTTGGCCCAAATATTAGTGTCCTTCTTCTGTCCATCTTCTGTACAAATAAATAAATGTGATTTTAGTATGCAAATGTTATCTCTTGATATAATACTTTTGATGTATATATAACCAGTAATATTGATAACTGTTTTTGTCACTGATGGGTCAATATACACAATACATTTCAGGCAGACAATAATAGTAGCCTTTTCTTCAATTCCTCTGTCCATATAGTAAACTTGGAAATGATGGAATGTTTCGAAGCTGAAACATTTTGAAAGATGTGGTTAAATTTTGATTTAGATGAGATCCTCTATACATCTAGGTATACTTTTGACTATATCACAGTCTTCAAGGTGACATTCCCACGCCCTGTGATACATGTACATATAGGGCTAAAACTACATTTTATTTTTACAGGAGTGGTCCAATAACAAGGACCTCTAGGAGACAGTCCACACCCTCTATTACCTTCAACAATACTCCCCCAAACATATTCTCTGTTACTGATGAGATTAAAACAGAGAAAAGACCCAGAATTACTCCTAATGCAGGACCATTGGTAAGTCTTATGTTTATTAATAAATTCTATAACATAATTATTTTCATCAGACATTTTATTGGTTTCATATAAAGAAAAAGGAAAAAAGAAGGAAAAACAATAATATCAACCATCAGATGTTTTTTAAAAAGTATATTCTGTTTTACCTATTCTAGTAAATGGATAGTACAAAGAATAATACGCCTGTTTAGACTTCTTTAGATAGCTTTATATAGCAAAATGATCAGTAAGCAAGTTTAGACATCTTCAATTTGTTGTTCCATGTGAGATTCATAATGTCATGTATCATCTCAAGTCATGTTTCATTTTAATCAAATAGGAGACATTATTAAAGGGATTTCATTTAAGTTTTATATCTGAGACGGAGTGACATGTAGGTAATTAAAGGAGTGATCCCTACAAACCCCTATGACTTGACAGATATCTTTTTAATATAATATCCAAGTACACATGCCAGTCATCAATTCCAAATCACTATAAAGAAATGTTTTTTTGTCGGGTCACAATTGTTTTTTGTACATCTTTCTGACTGCCAACCTTAGATGTTTAATATGTTAAGTTTGATATTCAGATAATTTTAAAAAGTTTATTGTGAGTTATCTCCTTTTGTCTGTGTAATATTCGGTTATCCTATAGTAATAATTCTGTGTTTAGTGTTGTTGGGAGTTATATCACTTTGTCTGTGTAATATTTGGTTATCCTATAGTAATAATACTGTGTTTAGTGTTATTTTGAGTTTAATACCAGGTTATACCCTACTGTTTAGTGTTATTATGAGTTCTCTCCCTTTGTGAGTTTAATACAAGGTTATACAGTACTGTTAAGTGTTATTATGAGTTGTCTCCCTTTGTGAGTTTGATACAAGGTTATACCCTACTGTTTAGTGTTATTATGAGTTATCTCCCTTTGTGAGTTTAATACCAGGTTATACTGAACTGTTTAGTTTTATTTTGAGTTGTCTCCCTTTGTGAGTTTAATACAAGGTTATACTGTACTGTTTAGTGTTATGAGTTATCTCCCTTTGGTAGTTTAATATTAGGTTATACTGTACTGTTTAGTGTTATTTTGAGTTGTCTCCCTTTGTTAGTTTAAAACAAGGTTATACTGTACTGTTTAGTGTTATAATGAGTTGTCTCCCTTTGTTAGTTTAATACTTGTTACACTGTACTGTTTAGTGCTACTATGAGTTGTCTCCCTTTGTTAGTTTAATACAAGGTTATACTGTTGTTTAGTGTTATTATTGGTTGTCTCCCTTTGTTAGTTTAATACAAGGTTATACAGTACTGTTTAGTGTTATACTGTACTGTTTTGTGTTATTATGAGTTGTCTCCCTATGTTAGTTTAATACAAGGTTATACAGTACTGTTTAGTGTTATTATTAGTTGTCTCCCTTTGTTAGTTTAATACAAGGTTATACAGTACTGTTTAGTGTTATTATTAGTTGTCTCCCTTTGTTAGTTTAATACTAGGTTAAACACTGTACATTAATTATAAACAAACTTGTGATAGTTTGAATATCAATATAAAAAATTATTAGTATAAAGTAGCATAGGCAACACATTAGACAAAAGAAAAAAGGGTGAAAAATCAAAACACAACATAGAGGTTGCAGTCTTGTAATTGACTGCTACATAGAAAAAAATTGTCATGTTCATATCATGTATGTACTAATGTGAAATTGTGATTTAATCGAAAAAAAAGTGGGTCATGCCACGAAGAATAAAAAGTTACGTAACCCTGAAGTTAAAACAATTTTTTTCTACTTTCTATTTGCTGTTTTTACTAGGCCGCACCACTTCCAGTAAACATGATATCCTTCCACTTTCTTGGATTGATATCCCCAAAAAGATGCAAGATTTTTTTTAAATCTATATATATGTTTCAATTCAGCATAAACTTTTAATCAAACAGAAAAAATTGAGTCCATAAAATAATTCAGAAAAAAATGGACTATTTTATTTCCCTCCATGTTTTGACATGCACCGGAAACTGGAGTTGTAATACAAGACTGGTACCTATAACTATAATGACATGTCTTAAAAAAATAAATCATTTACTTAGTTTCATTAAGTAGCCATATTTGAACATAAAAAATGCCATTAAAAATATTGTTTAGTTGTATTAATAAATATAATCCCACTATTAAAGGAGTACCCCTTTCTGAAAAAAGGCAAAATTTTGAAATAAGTCATGCCTATCAAATGATCTGTAAATCTCATTCTAGTCTATCTTTATGAATGTTTTCTTGTTATTTGGATACTGTGAAGCTAGAAGAGAATTCTTATTTATTATTTTTATTTTTTTCCTTCTATTTGATTGAACCACATTCAATAGTTTACCCCTCCCCCTTTTTTCCATGAAAACTACCCAAGTGGGCCTCTTGTTTAAGTCAAATTGAAAAACTACCCAAAACTTTTTCATATTGAAGAATTTGTTGCAATTCAACTATCTAAAGACAAGAATGACCATACCTTTCTCTTTTTGACTATACAGGTCTTTATACATGCCTACTATATGATGGTTTTTAGACTGTACTTGACACCTCAATGCATATAAAATTTGCAATAAAATTCAAGAAAAAACAAAATGAATACTCAAGTTGGTGTTATTGGTAAGAATATTGATTACTTGTCACACCTAATCACAAAAATCCTTGTCATGATGGATAGTTTTAGAAAAATTCTACTTTTTGAACAAATTTTTAACCCAAATATGGAATTTTCAATTAACCATACAATGCCACAGACAGGCAAAGAAGTCATAGACTATTGTAAAGTGAACATTTTGTAAAAATCTTTTCACCAAAAGTTCATTTTATACATATTCTACCTATATGTCAACAATTGAGCCATAAAAATAATAACCCTAAAGATAAAATTTACTTTTGTATGTAGCTGTCCCTTCAAACTTTACACTGATTTTCAATGAAACTGTGCAACTAGAATTTTCATCACAAGAAGAAGATTTTATAGAGGAAAAAATCTTTCTATGTTCTTTTTAACTAAAAATCATGTATGTAATACTACCAGAATCTCAATTTACCTCAAACTGATGTGCTTTATATCTATTTATACTTTTGAATGGTGTCTTGTATAAAAAATCATAATTATTACATAATTTCTGTTTTTTCATTGTAACTTGATACCCCATGATTTTTTTTTCTTAAAAAGTCCTTTAATCATGATGTTTTGTCATTCTGGGCACACAAAAATTCACATGAGCTACTTCCTTGCAGTGAAGATAGGAAAAAATTACCCTATGCAGGTTGCAGTCTTGTAATTGACTGCTCCATAGGCTTACATGCAAAACAGCTGATCTTTGAAAATAAAAAAATTAAAAATGCTACATAGAAAAAAATTTTCATGTTCATATCATGTATGTACTACATGAAATTGTGATTTAATCGAAAAAAAAGTGGGTCATGCCACGAAGAATAAAAAGTTACGTAACCCTGAAGTCAAAACAATTTTTTTCTACTTTCTGTTTGCTGTTTTTACTAGGCCGCACCACTTCCAGTAAACATGATATCCTTCCACTTTCTTGGATTGATATCCCCAAAAAGATGCAAGATTTTTTTTAAATCTATATATGTTTCAATTCAGCATAAACTTTTAATCGAACAAAAAAAATTGAGTCCATAAAAAAATTCAGAAAAAATGGACTATTTTATTTCCCTCCATGTTTTGACATGCACCGGAAACTGGAGTTGTAATACAAGACTGGTACCTAGAAAACTGGCGGAAATAAATCAAAAATGACTTAAAATTTGACTTTAGGTGATAATTAAATAATGTCATCAAGTCCATGATTGTGAAGAATCGTCATGGTTATAAAATGGAGGGGAGAAGATACCAAATTGAGGGGGAAGGGGGGGGGGACAATAAAAAACCACAAGTCAAATAAAAAGACAAAAAGACAATCATCAACAAAACAGTAGAAAATTAAACATTGAACAAAACAATCTTTTCAAAAACTAGACAGAAACTCAAGTGCTCCAGTTTGTAGTTTCTGCTCCACTATTTACTGACAAATCATCAGTCAGACAATTTTATAGAGAATTTTTCCAAAACTATAGCAATGTTTACATGCGTGTTATTGACATTTCCAATACTATAGCAATGTTTGCATGGGTGTTATTGACATTTCCAATACTATAGCAATGTTTACATGCGTGTTATTGACATTTCCAATACTATAGCAATGTTTACATGCGTGTTATTGACATTTCCAATACTATAGCAATGTTTACATGCGTGTTATTGACATTTCCAATACTATAGCAATGTTTACATATTATAATTGTTTAGCAGACAATATATGGAGAAGAAGCTGTACCAAAGGTAGTCTGATTGAGGTTTACTCATATTAAAAATTATTTTTGAGTTCATTTTAATAACTTATCCATATAAACAACTGCTGTTATCAATTAATTTAATAATTAAGTTGTTTTGTTTCTCCAAAAAGAAATTAAATACTAATAATAGTAGTTTTGCACATTTGAAAGAGGGTTGGGATAGGTTTCAATGATTTTTTAGAAAATTTTATCATAGGGTTATAGGGCAAAAGCATCCCTGAAAAAGTTATGGAGGGACACACATAGGAATCAATAAGATGAACAATTTTCAGATTACTATTCTTAAAGAGTTTCAAGTCAGGAAATCATTTTACAAGGGAGAAATTAATTGAGCGGGAACAATTATTGGAGCAATGGATTACTGTAAATTTAGAAATTATTGCGATGTTTTTATTATTGCGAAAAATGCGACAAGGTTATAATCGCAATAATTTAAACTTGCATTTTGAAATTTTTTATATGAATTAAACAGGATTTTTCTCAATATCGCAAAATTTAAATTGCATTTTAGTCCAAAATGACAAAATCCCAATAATAAATGCACGCAATAATTTCTGAATTTACAGTAACCTGAAACAAATAACAGTTTGCATTTATATTATACATATGTATTGTAACAGTGAGCTCAAAAACAAAAACATTTGAAATTTTGATTTTGCTATGTAACTCATTAATGCCTAGATTTTTAAGAAAAAATCAAAATGTGAAACTAAAACTTGTCTGCTAGCTTATAAAATTATTATATAATTACTTTTTGCAGTTTATGCTGACCTAATTGCTTTTACTTGACTGTTTTTTTTGCTTTGTGATTTTTTTGAGTTATTTATGAGTAAAAATTCCCCAGGGCCATTACAAGTTTGATTAATTCCTTGCAAGTAGAAAAACTGTCATTGATACTTGTTTTATGTGTTGCATACAATAGTAAAACTTAAAAAAAAAATGAAAAATTATGGTTTTGACCCAGATCAAGGATCACTGAATATGGAAATGTAATAGTGCAAGCAGGCATGCACAAAAAAATCTTGTCAGTCTAGCTGTCTGCCTATGTTCCTTAAAGGTGCAACTCCTCCTTAAGGGCTAGAAAAATATTGGACAACTTTTCACAGTTGTAGAACGCTACATGGGGATGGTCCTACATGTTAAAGGGGAGATAATAAATTTACTCATAATATTACGGGAGGAGAGAATACTTTATGAGTTCACTAATAGTTCTAGTTTTGTGTTTGCAACTCACTTAAAGACGAAAAATAGATACAGATTGTAACTTTTTCCGACCTTCAGAATGGCTTTGCAGAGGAGGCCATACAAAGGCTTATAAAGATAAAAATAGATAATTAGTTACCGGTACCCTTTTCCACCCTTCAGAACGGCATTGCAGAGGAGGCCATACAAAAGCTTATAAAGATAAGAATAGATAATTAGTTACCCTTTTCCACCCTTCAGAATGGCATTGCAGAGGAGGCCATACAAAGGCTTATAAAGATAAAAATTGATAATTAGTTACCCTTTTCCACCCTTCAGAACGGCATTGCAGAGAAGGCCAAACAAAGGCTGATAAAGATAAAAATAGATAATTAGTTACCTTTTTCCACCCTTCAGAATGGCATTGCAGAGGAGGCCACACAAAGGCTTATAAAGATGAAAATAGATAATTAGTTACCTTTTTCCACCCTTCAGAACGACATTGCAGAGGAGGCCATACAAAGGCTTATAAAGATAAAAATAGATAATTAGTTACCTTTTTCCACCCTTCAGAACGGCATTGCAGAGGAGGCCATACAAAGGCTTATACAGATAAAAATAGATAATTAGTTACCTTTTTCCACCCTTCAGAACAGCATTGCAGTGGAGGCCATACAAAGGCTTATAAAGATAAAAATAGATAATTAGTTACCTTTTTCCACCCTTCAGAATGGCATTCCAGAGGAGGCCAGACAAAGGCTTATAAAGATAAAAATAGATAATTAGTTACCTTTTTCCACCCTTCAGAATGGCATTGCAGTGGAGGCCATACAAAGGCTTATAAAGATAAAAATAGATAATTAGTTACCTTTTTCCACCCTTCAGAATGGCATTGCAGTGGAGGCCATACAAAGGCTTATAAAGATAAAAATAGATAATTAATTACCTTTTTCCACCCTTCAGAACGGCATTGCAGGGGAGGCCATACAAAGGCTTATCAAGATGAAAATAGATAATTAGTTACCTTTTTCCACCCTTCAGAATGGCATTGCAGAGGAGGCCACACAAAGGCTTATAAAGATGAAAATAGATAATTAATTACCTTTTTCCACCCTTCAAAACGGCATTGCAGAGGAGGCCACACAAAGGCTTATAAAGATGAAAATAGATAATTAGTTACCTTTTTCCACCCTTCAGAACGGCATTGCAGAGGAGTCCATACAAAGGCTTATAAAGATAAAAATAGATAGTTACCTTTTTCCACCCTTCAGAATGGCATTACAGAGGAGGCCATACAAAGGCTTATAAAGATAAAAATAGATAATTAGTTACCTTTTTCCACCCTTCAGAACGGCATTGCAGAGGAGTCCATACAAAGGCTTATAAAGATAAAAATAGATAGTTACCTTTTTCCACCCTTCAGAACGGCATTGCAGTGGAGGCCATACAAAGGCTTATAAAGATAAAAATAGATAATTAGTTACCTTTTTCCACCCTTCAGAACGGCATTGCAGAGGAGGCCATACAAAGGCTTATAAAGATAAAAATAGATAATTAATTACCTTTTTCCACCCTTCAAAACGGCATTGCAGAGGAGGCCACACAAAGGCTTATAAAGATAAAAATAGATAATTAGTTACCTTTTTCCACCCTTCAGAACGGCATTGCAGAGGAGGCCATACAAAGGCTTATAAAGATAAAAGTATATAATTAGTTACCTTCTTCCACCCTTCAGAACGGCATTGCAGTGGAGGCCATACAAAGGCTTATAAAGATAAAAATAGATAATTAATTACCTTTTTCCACCCTTCAAAACGGCATTGCAGAGGAGGCCACACAAAGGCTTATAAAGATAAAAATAGATAATTAGTTACCTTTTTCCACCCTTCAGAACGGCATTGCAGAGGAGGCCATACAAAGGCTTATAAAGATAAAAATAGATAATTAGTTACCTTTTTCCACCCTTCAGAACGGCATTGCAGAGGAGGCCACACAAAGGCTTATAAAGATAAAAATAGATAATTAGTTACCTTTTTCCAACCTTCAGAACGGCATTGCAGAGGAGGCCATACAAAGGCTTATAAAGATAAAAATAGATAATTAGTTACCTTTTTCCACCCTTCAGAACGGCATTGCAGAGGAGGCCATACAAAGGCTTATAAAGATAAAAGTATATAATTAGTTACCTTTTTCCACCCTTCAGAACGGCATTGCAGTGGAGGCCATACAAAGGCTTATAAAGATAAAAATAGATAATTAATTACCTTTTTCCACCCTTCAAAACGGCATTGCAGAGGAGGCCACACAAAGGCTTATAAAGATAAAAATAGATAATTAGTTACCTTTTTCCACCCTTCAGAACGGCATTGCAGAGGAGGCCATACAAAGGCTTATAAAGATAAAAATAGATAATTAGTTACCTTTTTCCACCCTTCAGAACGGCATTGCAGAGGAGGCCATACAAAGGCTTATAAAGATAAAAGTATATAATTAGTTACCTTTTTCCACCCTTCAGAACGGCATTGCAGTGGAGGCCATACAAAGGCTTATAAAGATAAAAATAGATAATTAATTACCTTTTTCCACCCTTCAAAACGGCATTGCAGAGGAGGCCACACAAAGGCTTATAAAGATAAAAATAGATAATTAGTTACCTTTTTCCACCCTTCAGAACGGCATTGCAGAGGAGGCCATACAAAGGCTTATGAAGATAAAAATAGATAATTAGTTACCTTTTTCCACCCTTCAGAACGGCATTGCAGAGGAGGCCATACAAAGGCTTATAAAGATAAAAATAGATAATTAGTTACTTTTTTCCAACCTTCAGAACGGCATTGCAGAGGAGGCCATACAAAGGCTTATAAAGATAAAAATAGATAATTAGTTACCTTTTTCCACCCTTCAGAACGGCATTGCAGAGGAGGCCATACAAAGGCTTATAAAGATAAAAGTATATAATTAGTTACCTTTTTCCACCCTTCAGAACGGCATTGCAGTGGAGGCCATACAAAGGCTTATAAAGATAAAAATAGATAATTAATTACCTTTTTCCACCCTTCAAAACGGCATTGCAGAGGAGGCCACACAAAGGCTTATAAAGATAAAAATAGATAATTAGTTACCTTTTTCCACCCTTCAGAACGGCATTGCAGAGGAGGCCATACAAAGGCTTATAAAGATAAAAATAGATAATTAATTACCTTTTTCCACCCTTCAAAACGGCATTGCAGAGGAGGCCACACAAAGGCTTATAAAGATAAAAATAGATAATTAGTTACCTTTTTCCACCCTTCAGAACGGCATTGCAGAGGAGGCCACACAAAGGCTTATAAAGATAAAAATAGATAATTAGTTACCTTTTTCCACCCTTCAGAATGGCATTGCAGAGGATCACTGAATATGGAAATGTAATAGTGCAAGCAGGCATGCACAAAAAAATCTTGTCAGTCTAGCTGTCTGCCTATGTTCCTTGAAGGTGCAACTCCTCCTTAAGGGCTAGAAAAATATTGGACAACTTTTCACAGTTGTAGAACGCTACATGGGGATGGTCCTACATGTTAAAGGGGAGATAATAAATTTACTCATAATATTACGGGAGGAGAGAATACTTTATGAGTTCACTAATAGTTATAGTTTTGTTTTTGCAACTCACTTAAAGACGAAAAATAGATACAGATTGTAACTTTTTCCACCCTTCAGAATGGCTTTGCAGAGGAGGCCATACAAAGGCTTATAAAGATAAAAATAGATAATTAGTTACCGGTACCCTTTTCCACCCTTCAGAACGGCATTGCAGAGGAGGCCATACAAAAGCTTATAAAGATAAGAATAGATAATTAGTTACCCTTTTCCACCCTTCAGAATGGCATTGCAGAGGAGGCCATACAAAGGCTTATAAAGATAAAAATTGATAATTAGTTACCCTTTTCCACCCTTCAGAACGGCATTGCAGAGAAGGCCAAACAAAGGCTGATAAAGATAAAAATATATAAATAGTTATCTTTTTCCACCCTTCAGTATGGCATTGCAGAGGAGGCCATACAAAAGCTTATGAAGATAAAAATAGATAATTAGTTACCTTTTTCCACCCTTCAGAACGACATTGCAGAGGAGGCCATACAAAGGCTTATCAAGATAAAAATAGATAATTAGTTACCTTTTCCACCCTTCAGAAGGCATTGCAGAGGAGGCCATACAAAGGCTTATAAAGATAAAAATAGATAATTAGTTACCTTTTTCCACCCTTCAGAACGGCATTGCAGAGGAGGCCACACAAAGGCTTATAAAGATAAAAATAGATAATTAGTTACCTTTTTCCAACCTTCAGAACGGCATTGCAGAGGAGGCCATACAAAGGCTTATAAAGATAAAAATAGATAATTAGTTACCTTTTTCCACCCTTCAGAACGGCATTGCAGAGGAGGCCATACAAAGGCTTATAAAGATAAAAGTATATAATTAGTTACCTTTTTCCACCCTTCAGAACGGCATTGCAGTGGAGGCCATACAAAGGCTTATAAAGATAAAAATAGATAATTAATTACCTTTTTCCACCCTTCAAAACGGCATTGCAGAGGAGGCCACACAAAGGCTTATAAAGATAAAAATAGATAATTAGTTACCTTTTTCCACCCTTCAGAACGGCATTGCAGAGGAGGCCATACAAAGGCTTATAAAGATAAAAATAGATAATTAGTTACCTTTTTCCACCCTTCAGAACGGCATTGCAGAGGAGGCCATACAAAGGCTTATAAAGATAAAAGTATATAATTAGTTACCTTTTTCCACCCTTCAGAACGGCATTGCAGTGGAGGCCATACAAAGGCTTATAAAGATAAAAATAGATAATTAATTACCTTTTTCCACCCTTCAAAACGGCATTGCAGAGGAGGCCACACAAAGGCTTATAAAGATAAAAATAGATAATTAGTTACCTTTTTCCACCCTTCAGAACGGCATTGCAGAGGAGGCCATACAAAGGCTTATAAAGATAAAAATAGATAATTAGTTACCTTTTTCCACCCTTCAGAACGGCATTGCAGAGGAGGCCATACAAAGGCTTATAAAGATAAAAATAGATAATTAGTTACCTTTTTCCAACCTTCAGAACGGCATTGCAGAGGAGGCCATACAAAGGCTTATAAAGATAAAAATAGATAATTAGTTACCTTTTTCCACCCTTCAGAACGGCATTGCAGAGGAGGCCATACAAAGGCTTATAAAGATAAAAGTATATAATTAGTTACCTTTTTCCACCCTTCAGAACGGCATTGCAGTGGAGGCCATACAAAGGCTTATAAAGATAAAAATAGATAATTAATTACCTTTTTCCACCCTTCAAAACGGCATTGCAGAGGAGGCCACACAAAGGCTTATAAAGATAAAAATAGATAATTAGTTACCTTTTTCCACCCTTCAGAACGGCATTGCAGAGGAGGCCATACAAAGGCTTATAAAGATAAAAATAGATAATTAATTACCTTTTTCCACCCTTCAAAACGGCATTGCAGAGGAGGCCACACAAAGGCTTATAAAGATAAAAATAGATAATTAGTTACCTTTTTCCACCCTTCAGAACGGCATTGCAGAGGAGGCCACACAAAGGCTTATAAAGATAAAAATAGATAATTAGTTACCTTTTTCCACCCTTCAGAATGGCATTGCAGAGGATCACTGAATATGGAAATGTAATAGTGCAAGCAGGCATGCACAAAAAAATCTTGTCAGTCTAGCTGTCTGCCTATGTTCCTTGAAGGTGCAACTCCTCCTTAAGGGCTAGAAAAATATTGGACAACTTTTCACAGTTGTAGAACGCTACATGGGGATGGTCCTACATGTTAAAGGGGAGATAATAAATTTACTCATAATATTACGGGAGGAGAGAATACTTTATGAGTTCACTAATAGTTATAGTTTTGTTTTTGCAACTCACTTAAAGACGAAAAATAGATACAGATTGTAACTTTTTCCACCCTTCAGAATGGCTTTGCAGAGGAGGCCATACAAAGGCTTATAAAGATAAAAATAGATAATTAGTTACCGGTACCCTTTTCCACCCTTCAGAACGGCATTGCAGAGGAGGCCATACAAAAGCTTATAAAGATAAGAATAGATAATTAGTTACCCTTTTCCACCCTTCAGAATGGCATTGCAGAGGAGGCCATACAAAGGCTTATAAAGATAAAAATTGATAATTAGTTACCCTTTTCCACCCTTCAGAACGGCATTGCAGAGAAGGCCAAACAAAGGCTGATAAAGATAAAAATATATAAATAGTTATCTTTTTCCACCCTTCAGTATGGCATTGCAGAGGAGGCCATACAAAAGCTTATGAAGATAAAAATAGATAATTAGTTACCTTTTTCCACCCTTCAGAACGACATTGCAGAGGAGGCCATACAAAGGCTTATCAAGATAAAAATAGATAATTAGTTACCTTTTCCACCCTTCAGAAGGCATTGCAGAGGAGGCCATACAAAGGCTTATAAAGATAAAAATAGATAATTAGTTACCTTTTTCCACCCTTCAGAATGGCATTGCAGAGGAGGCCACACAAAGGCTTATAAAGATGAAAATAGATAATTAGTTACCTTTTTCCACCCTTCAGAACGGCATTACAGAGGAGGCCATACAAAGGCTTATAAAGATAAAAAAAGATAATTAGTTACCTTTTTCCACCCTTCAGAACGGCATTGCAGTGGAGGCCATACAAAGGCTTATAAAGATAAAAATAGATAATTAGTTACCTTTTTCCACCCTTCAGAACGGCATTGCAGTGGAGGCCATACAAAGGCTTATAAAGATAAAAATAGATAATTAGTTACCTTTTTCCACCCTTCAGAACGGCATTGCAGAGGAGGCCATACAAAGGCTTATAAAGATAAAAATAGATAATTAGTTACCTTTTTCCACCCTTCAGAACGGCATTGCAGTGGAGGCCATACAAAGGCTTATAAAGATAAAAATAGATAATTAGTTACCTTTTTCCACCCTTCAGAACGGCATTGCAGTGGAGGCCATACAAAGGCTTATAAAGATAAAAATAGATAATTAGTTACCTTTTTCCACCCTTCAGAACGGCATTGCAGAGGAGGCCATACAAAGGCTTATAAAGATAAAAATAGATAATTAGTTACCTTTTTCCACCCTTCAGAACGGCATTGCAGAGGAGGCCATACAAAGGCTTATAAAGATAAAAATAGATAATTAGTTACCTTTTTCCACCCTTCAGAATGGCATTCCAGAGGAGGCCAGACAAAGGCTTATACAGATAAAAATAGATAATTAGTTACTTTTTTCCACCCTTCAGAATGGCATTGCAGAGGAGGCCATACAAAGGCTTATAACAAAAAATGGAGAAGGTGATCCCCAAAATAAGTCAGCAGCCATTGCTAGGGAATACATGAACGTTTTATTGGATAGATTAAAGAAGAGGGCAAAAACTGTTTTGTATGACCCAGATTTATTGTCTGATGTGACTAAGAAGTATATCACATGTTTGGTATTGGGTGATGGGAAAACATAGAATTCATTGGGTTATAGAGGTCAAAATCAAGTTTACTAGTCCACTTTTATTGCTTATAATGCTCAATACAACTTGTAAAATTAATTCTTAATTTAAGAAGGTTAAATAAGTAAAATAACTTCTTAATTTAAGAAGCTTGAATATGTAAAATGAATTCCTAATTAAGAAGGTTGAACATGTAAAATGAATTCTAAATTTAAGAAGGTTAAACATGTAAAATGAATTTTCAATTGAAGAAGGTCAAAAATGTAAAATGATTTATTAATTCAAGAATGTTATACATGTAAAATGAATTCACTCAAAGTATTGGATATACACAATTGGAGTAGGGTTATTTATTTCATTATTATTATAATCATTGTGTAGAGGTGAGAGTACACTGGTGGATTTTAGACATTGTAAATGAGTGCTGCATTTCATAAGTAGTGATCTGTTATTTTGTACATAAAGGTTTTAATCACCATTAATTGAGCTTTACTCTCAAGTATGATTTTGTTGGATTTATATCATTTAAGGTGGTACCCAACACCTTGACTAATATTAATTTGGCTATTTAATTTTCATAAAATTTTGACAAAATGTTTACTTTGACCCTTTGACAAGAATATAAAAATTTCAAAAAATTTGAACCAACCACTTTATCAGAAAAATTTCATTGGTTATATAGCAGTTTGACAAACACTAATTTTGATCATTGAGAAGCTTAATATTTCCTTAACAATACAACGTAATCAAAACGTTTAGCTGATTTTTATAGAGTTATCTCCCTGTAGTGTTAGGTACCACCTTATTATATTTAAAAACATATATATTAATTTTGTTATTCAAGATTTTCATAAATTTATGTAAATATATAAATCTGCTGAATGCCTTTTATTTCATTCATGTTAGAACGTTGTACAATTATATGGACATATTTTATAAAGAAATAGAACTGTACTAAAGTTATACCAATATATTTATTGTAAGATATTATGATACTTAAATCTATAGGTTATATAATTTAAATCAATACATTTAGTAAAGGCATATATGAATTAGTGTGAAATCTTGTCAAAGTTTTAAACTATGTTTTTGTGATTTGATAAGTATACTTTTGACTTTTTCCAATTGTTGTAGGACTGTTCCATTAAAACATATATAGTACTCAGGGAAGGCACTTTGAAAATGAGTTTACAACCTTTGGAGGAAATTTACAATCCTTCTTTCATCTTTACTGTACATAAAAGTATTTGACACCCACCAAAAGTTGAGATTTATAAAAGTGCATTATTTCCCTTGGTCACATGTATGTTTTTTTACGGAACAGCCCTTAAAATGGTTTCAAGTTTACTTTTACATAGTGAAATTTTTTTTACAATTTTGGAAGTTTGTAAATAAAAAATATTTCTGACATCTAATTTACAAAAGTTTTTAAGTTTCATGAACTATTATATGTTCAAAATGAAAAATAATAACAAAGACTATGTAGAAAAATGAAATACTGCTAACAGTGATTGTGATTTTACTTTAACTTATTTATCTTTATTATCCATTATAGATAAGAACAGTGATGGTGGATTTACTGTAACTTATTAATTTGTTTATCCATTGTAGATAAGAGGGATTAAAGTGAAAACCGAGTCATGACACAGGCTTATCCATAGGATGTAAACAATTAGAAACTACCCATAATGCACCTTATCGCTATTTGTCAGCAACTACTGAACATATATGACGTTCCTTTAAAATTTTGACATCAGAAGAGAAAACTTGTCAAAACAATGTTGGACTCCACAAAACAAAAGTGATTGTTTTATGATGTCAATAGTTTCAGTGGTAAAGAATTGTTTAAGATGAGGTCTATAATAATAACTAACTGCTTATGCTACCATTTAAACACATGGATCTTAGAAAAGGATTCTTTTAAATTTACATTTAAACACATGGATCTTCGAAATGGATTATGTTTAATCAACATTTAAACACATAGATCTTAGAAAAGGATTATGTTTAGTAAACATTTAGATCTTAGAAATGGATTGTTATTGAACACTTAAACACATGGATCTTAGAAACAGATTATGTTAATTGAACATTTAAACACATGGATCTTAGAAACGGATTATGTTAATTGAACATTTAAACACATGGATCTTAGAAATGGATTATGTTAATTGAACATTTAAACACATGGTTCTTAGAAATGGATTATGTTAATTGAACATTAAACACATTGATCTTAGAAATGGATTTTGTTTAGTGGACTTTTAGTGCTGTAACTCTAGTTCCTTAAGAACAGCCACACCAACAACAAAACTTTCAGTGTTCTTTATGTCACATGACTGTCACATGACAATATCTTTACAAAGGGGTAACTATTTAGAACTTGTGTTTATTATAAGGATTTTATTTAAGTTATTGGTGACAGGAGCTTCTTAGATAAAATGCAATATGTGGTCATATGAATTCATGCATCTATTAAAAACGAGAAAATTAGCAATGTGTTATATAACAAATTTGTAATTTTGTGTGTATAATTATTTATTTATTGACTTTTATAAAGAGCATTTAGAAATTTATTCAATATCAAGTTCTTGTTGATATATATACAGTTTACTGAACACATGTGTTAATATGAGTGGAAATTTGACCAATATAACAATGTGAGCATTTGTATATATTGTAATGAGTGACGTCAGGAATCAAATGATTTGCATAATGGATATCTGTAAAGACTTGCCCATCAGTGCCATTATGTGTATAATGTATGGACTGTTTAATGCTGTGATATTTTCCCGAATTTTATTGAACAATATTTATACTGCTGATTTTAGTTTTTTTCTACAAAAATATGTAAGATTGTTTGCCAGGTTAACATGTAGCCAAAAATTCTGGAAAATCATAGATCAAAATACACATAGATGAAATTTACAGTTGTTTTTTTTAACCTGCCAATAACAATTGGATTGTCAACAACTGAAAACTGAAATAGTAATTTTACCGTCCATCTGAAATCACCTTGAGGTAGTTTTGAGGCTTTAGAAAATAGCCTGACCAGAAGTGAAATAACAAAGATACAGAACACCCAGGAAGATTCAAAACATAAAGTAGGTAATCAAATGGCAAAATCAAAAGCTCTAACACATCATATGAATGGAAAACAACTGTCATGCTACTGACTTGGTACAGGCATTTCATTATGTAGAAAATGGTGGATTAAACCTGGTTTTATAGCTAGCTAAACCTCTCGCTTGTATGACAGTCACATAAAATTCCATTATATTGACAACAATCTGCGAACAATACAAACAGACATTATCACATAATAGGTAAAATGTCTAAAAAAAGGGGAAGAGCAGTCAACATTGTGTTATAATCTTAATCACTATATTAACAAACAAATATGTCAACAAAGAAAAACAAAATGCCATATAGACAAAGCACATAAGCAAAAAAGAAAGAAAAGAATACAAAAAATGACCACAGCACAACACATTGGAGGGTGGCATAAGTTCTGAGCCACACCAAAAGGATATTACCACAATGGGCTAAGCAGTAAGGGTTTATAATATACAAAGACAAATTAAAGAACACTATAACATGTAATTAAGATGATAAACAATGTCAGTACCTAGAATCTATACTTCAAGACACTTCAAAAGTCAAAAAGTCTGAAAAGACCAGTTTTTGTCTGAATTTGCATGAATTTTTACTCGACATTCTTAATTTGTCTGAATAATTTTTAAAAATTCTTGACATAGTATGAATTTGTCTAATAAGGTTCTTGATTTTTCTTGACAAGTGTCTTGACAGTATGAACATTGTCTTAAAATTTCTGGACACTTCCTGTATCATCTGACAAGAGTCTGGATTAGTCTCGACCAATTCTTGACTGTCTTGAATTGGTCTCGATCTGTCTTGACATTCTTAATAATGTCTGAATATGTCTCGACATATTTTTGATATTCTAAATAATGTCTGAATATGTCTCGACATATTTTTGATATTCTAAATAATGTCTGAATATGTCTCGACACATTCTTGACAGTCTTAAATATGTCTTGACACTATCTCAACAGTATAAATTTCGCCTGAAATGTGAACAGACTTATTCTGCACTGTTTATGACATTCTATTGCTATTATATACTCCTTTTTATTATGGCTAAACTAAACTTTGAAGAATCAAGGATTAATTTGGTATAGTAAGATACCCTTTTGGTGCAAATAAGTTGGAATACCCTGAATAATCCCCCATGTAGTTTAATTTTGATTTATTTTTATTAAACATTTAAGTAATTGTTTTAACTTGGAATATAAGTCGAAGGTATTGACAAACAGCATTTAGATTTTTGCCGTTCGCAAAACTGCCAGTCAAATTTGCTTTACTAAAATAGGTGTCTTGTATGTCTTTTGGACCCCACAATTCATCTTTTGGGTTTGTGTGGCAAAAAAGAGGGGGGGGGGCTTTCGTTTAGGTCAAAGAATTTGTTCCCATCTTGATTCAAAAACCTTATTCATTTTTTAGAACAACCCAAAAACATTTTTTATTCAAATTTGAGTGTTGAATTTTATTATTTTTTATCAAAAATAAATATTTGTGATAACTTCTTCCTGAAAAGAAAAAAATGTTTAGATCTATATTATGCATGTCTGTTTGAGAACCATTTCATAAGACCGATGATTTCTTTAGAAATCATTGATGGGACCCATTATAAATACATTTTTTTTATTATTCCTGGAGTAGATAATAATTTTCTTTTAATCTTTGGGAATTATTCAATTTGTTTTTATGCTTAAATAATTAACTTCATAATTTTGATGAAAAAAATCCATTTCAATTCAATTTTTTTTCATCAAAATGATGATTTTCATTTTCAGCTATCAACAAACTTTTTAAATTGTAGTGGCATGGTCGGTCAACTGATAAGTTGTATGGCTGATTACAGGTAAAGCAATAACTTCTATTTGACAGTTGCGTGTACTCTGGGGTGTGGAATACCTTAATTTTATGGGGAACATTCTGTCCATGTGTAATACTTAATATATTCCAACAGATGACATTACACAAATTTTTCTTCTGTTAAATGAATGATTTGTATATCATCATAATTTGCTATTTATATAAACCATATTTTGGTATAAAAATTATTTACCATATCAATATTGAATATTATGAATGTAGAATGAAATATGTCTACAGTATGATTGGTTTGAATCATTTAATTTATAAGATTTAGGAATCAAAATTTGTAATTATTTAAAAACCCACATTGAAATTGTTTTATATCAACACACCCACATTTGAATTATTTTATACTTAAGATTTCATAGCCATATTTGCATTTGTAAAAATATTTATGTACCCAAATTTTCAATTATTTGACATGCCCAACTTTTATTTTTGTTGTAAAGAAGTGTAACTTGAAACACCAGTAAATCATATAAAGAGAAATAAAGATTAAAGTTATATCATGAATATTGGTCATGATTTGTAAAACTCAGAACTGTCAAGTAAATTTAAGACACGATTCAAAATGTTCAGAATATGTCAAGCCATACCGAGAAAAAATAAGAATGTCGAGAATATGTCGAGAAATTTCAAGACAGTATTCAAATATCAAGAATTTGTCAAGAAATTTTAAGACCATATTCAGAATGTCTAGAATATGTCGAGTAAATTTCATACAAATTTAATATAAATGAGAATTTGTCAAGAAAAATTAAGACACAAGTCATACTGTTGGAGAATGTCGAGTAAAAGTTCATGCAAATTAAGACAAAAACTGGTCTTTTCAGACTTTTCGACTTTTGTAGTGAGACCATGATATGTCATTGGTGAGGTTGATGCGGAATATTTATCAACAAGTTATTGGTATATTCAGATTAACTTTTTAAAAAAAAGGACCAGACATTCTTTGACATAACCCTGGTTCATCAACTTTTTGCTCAGACACTGGTGTTTTATGAGGTCTGAGTAGCAGCTGCAAGCTCTTGAATACCGAATGAGTTTGGAAATGTATATCCCATATGCAGACGAAGTTGGTATATTGCTACTAAGGTGGGGGAAATTGCTAATTTCAAAATTAAATCGTCTTGTTTGTCATAGATTCTGGTACTGAGATGAATGCTTATGTCAAATTCGAGGTATAAGTCTAAAATTGAGGCGGAGGAAGCCGTGTCTTCTGTTTCTTTAATTTCTAGTTCTGGAGGCTATATTAATGGAACCCAAACAGAAAAGTTTGGATTGTTATTCATGTTAATAGGAAATAAGACTTTGAATTTGATTAACCCTGTGTAAGTATCCTACATTTTGGTTTGGTTAAAACATGTATATTAACGTGTATTTTTCGTACTTTTTCTTTTATCAGGTGAATTGTGTTCATATTTCACCTTCGCACTAGGATATGCCTTTTTCACCATCTGTCATTGTATAATTTCCAAATGGTATGCTTTTTTAGCTCACCTGGCCTAAAAGGCCATGTGAGCTTTTGCCATCAATTAGAAAATAGGCTTTCATCCGTCCATCATCGTACACTTTTAAAAAATCTTATCATAAACTAATTGTCATATGTTACATAACCTGAACTAATGTAAATAAGGTAGCAGTACATAGTTAGGAGTGTGGTTCCGCGGTTGTTTTTTCAAACAGGAAAATTATTGTGTAATAAAATCATTTTTAGACAGCTGATGACTAAATTTAAGCCTTCAAAGTGGGTTCGTATGAATTTCAAGATAGATTTTTACATGTTTTATGGGCTATTTTCTGTTTGGCAGTCCGTATTTTCATATCCAGACGGGTCATAGGTTCATAAAATCCACACAAACTTTTTAACGTAATTTTAACCATTTTAATTACTGGAAATCAAATCCTGAGGATTCATTTATTTTCGTTGGCACCAATTTTCGTGGATTGAGAAAAACTTTCATGTTCGTTGATAAATTATTTCATGGTTTTGCCGAAGTCTGCATAAGAGCCTATAGGAAATTTGTCATTCGTTGAACATTTAATTTCGTGGTTCACCTATACCCACGAAATCCACTAAAATTTGTTTCCAACGAATAATACTGAATTCACAGTCTATGGAAGATACTGATTACATACGTATGCACATAAATGACACAAACAGTAGCTTAATTTGTAAGAAAGCAAGAGAAAGCGGGATGGTAAAATTTATGAGGGTAAGTAAGTAAGTAGGTTAACTTTATTTACTGTCACCATTGGTCTTCCTCCGACCGGCAGTATAACCCTCGCCAAAGTGGGGCGTCCGTTTTGGCTGTGCGGGATGTACAAATTTGCAGCCACGTCAGGTCAGAATGGGAACGTTAAATCCGATACCTCGTGTAAAGAAAGTGCCACGCTCTTTGCACGTTAAGAACCCCTGCAACATCTTTTTGAGGGGTCCGTAGTTGCAAGGCTAAATTTCTGTCCCTATCCAATATTCCCTCATTTCCCGTGGCAGTCTAAATTTCTCCGACCTTAATCCCGGCCGCCTCTATTTCAGAACCTACCAATTGTATTTATTGTAAATTTGTTCTCGTCCTGAAAATGGATGAAATATTTGCCACTGGACGTTAAGCAACCAACAATCAACCAATCAATTGATATGGAATAATCTTGTCCTTCTTTCTTCACTAATGACATTACCGAATGTGACTTTTCGTTGGATTTGTACTTCTCGTTAGTAACACAGTGGAGTCCCTGAGTTCATCTCTCAATTTATTAATGGTTCTTATTAAAATTTTGCTTTGGTTTTTGTCATTATATTTTTCGATGTCAATACTGATTAAGGACGTCTTGAAAAAAAGTTTATATTATAAACGTTCGTTTATAATAAGAAACTCCCTCAAGAAAGTTTACCTTAGTTGGTTTTATGTATTCTATTCTCTTTGTTTTTGCCTATTTGGTCATACAGCTAGCTCCTCAAGTCT